GGCTCTCATCACGGAGTGCGTGGGGGGCTCTCATCACGGAGTGCGTGGGGGGCTCTCATCACGGAGTGCGTGGGGGGCTCTCATCACGGAGTGCGTGGGGGGCTCTCGGCGCGCGCCACGGACGACCCTGGAGCGAGAAGAGGCACCCCCCCCCCCCCGTCGCTCTCTCACCCTCTCACTCCCCCACCCTCTCGCCCTTTCACTCTCACTCGCCCTCTCGCCCACTCTCCCTCTTACCCTCTCTCTCACTCTCTAACACTTTCACTCTCCCACCCTCTCACTCTCTCACTCGCCCTCTCACCCTCTTTCACCCTCTCGCCCTCTCGCCCCAGGCGGAAACCGACACTGGGTCTAGAACAACTGCCCCTGCCTTGTGCGCACGAACTTCTTTCGCGACCGTACGCAGCCAGCCACGTGCTAGCCGGAGGTTGGCGGTGCGGTGCCTGGGATAAGAGAGAGGGGGAACGGGAGAGAGAAGAGAATGGATTGGGAATAACCGTGGGGAGGATGGAGTAGGGACGGAGAAACGGGTCAGGAGGAATGAGGAGAGAGAGAGAGGAAGAGGCAGCGTGAGGGCCTCAACGCTGCTGCCGCTGCTGCATGAGGAGCGGGGTCTGTTTTCACAGTGGGCGGCGACAGGGAAAGGGGAGGGGCTCAGAGTGGGGGTGGCTACGCCGAAGTCACGTGGTGTACGGGAGGCTTGAGCTGGCTCGGCCACCGTTTGTCACGCCCTGCTGGACGCGTGGGGTCTAAGAGCCGTAACGTTCAAACGTAGAGATTCACGATTTAAAATACATACCCAGCGGATTTGCAACGGGCCTAAAACACACGACAGTTCCACTACAGTTGCCCCGAGTTGTCCAGCCACGTGGTTAGAGAGTTGAATGTTGGCAAAAAATATACGAGATTGGTCTACGGATTTACCTCAAAAAGCCCCAAAAATAACTACATTTTCCACTTTGCACTTCCTCATACATGGTGGGGCGCAATGTTTGTTGACCTGTTGTGTTCAGAGGTAAAATCTGGGGGTTCTCAAGGGGACTCAATTTAAAATCTCTCCGCTACCATTTTTTTTCTCTCCAAATGTACTCGTCTGTCCACGAGGGCTACGCCGAGTCGCAGGACTCTTGCCAGGAGGGTCCTGCTGCTGCTGCCGCCGCCGCTACATTGGGGTTTTATTTGTAAGATGCTTTTTTTGCTAATTAATGACGAGTCGTGTTTGTTGTACAAGTGGGACAGAAGAAACCAGAGCATTGCGCGAGGGGACAACGCTCTATCCCCCCCCTCCCCCACGTACAGATGGAAACACACGGCGATTAGTCCGCTCGCTGTCGCGCCTTCTCCTGGACGAGCCAGGGCTACGGCTCCTCCTGGACGCCCGCGGGAAGTGAATGTCACAACATCTATGTGCGGTGATCCACCGCTGCTGCTGCTTCCTCCACAGAGTGTTGGATTGCAGGCGGCCATGCGTAGCGGCCATGTGTAGCATAGCGGCCATGTGTAGCGTAGCCGCCATGTGTAGCATAGCGGCCATGTGTAGCATAGCCGCCATGCGTAGCATAGCCGCCATGCGTAGCGTAGCGGCCATGCGTAGCGTAGCCGCCATGCGTAGCGTAGCCGCCATGCGTAGCGTAGCCGCCATGCGTAGCGTAGCGGCCATGCGTAGCGTAGCCGCCATGTGTAGCGTAGCCGCCATGTGTAGCGTAGCCGCCATGTGTAGCGTAGCCGCCATGTGTAGCGTAGCGGCCATGTGTAGCGTAGCCGCCATGTGTAGCGTAGCGGCCATGCGTAGCGTAGCCGCCATGCGTAGCGTAGCCGCCATGTGTAGCGTAGCCGCCATGCGTAGCGTAGCCGCCATGTGTATCGTAGCGGCCATGTGTAGCGTAGCGGCCATGTGTAGCGTAGCGGCCATGTGTAGCGTAGCGGCCATGTGTAGCATAGCCGCCATTGCCCAGATGTACGAGTGTGAGACCCTTAAAGCCCATGGAGAGAGCGGGCATAACTAAAATAATATATTTTAGTTTTACCAGGTAAGGCCCACTGAGTTATACAGCTCTTTTTCAAAAGTGACCGGCTGCCACACAAATTATAACCCAACAAAGTGGCTTATCGTCACGTGGAAAATTCGAACAGTCAAATAGTCTCAACGCATATCGATTCTACATGTGGAGGGAAAACCCAGAAGAGCCGGAGACGGGGAAAACATTCAAACTCCAAATATGAAGCAGACGTCAGGGTCAGAATCGAACCCACGACTTCCTGTATACCAGGCGATGTAGTTAACATCTCACCACCGGTAAAACACAAGGGCACCCCCTCTTATTCGCGCGACCTATGACCCCCGCCCGCGAAAGCGCCCGCTACAACCGCGGAGATTTCCTAAGCCTGAATTGCGGAAGGACGTTTCCTCGTGACACGCCGAGGATTTCGCTGCCGATGTTTCCGATGCACGATTTTTTTTTTATCGTCCGCATTTTGTTCACGGATATCAGGAAGAGCCCACTTGGCAAATTCACATCCTCTTTAGCACGTTTCAGGGCTTTTGCGACCAATATTATCCATCGTAGAGGTGTTTGGGTTAGATGGCGTGAATTTAAATGTGCCGCTAAACACGCCACCACCCGGCACAGCCAATTAGGATTTCTCCACATCTCTGGCTGTCGCCTGATGATGCTCATTGTAATTACAGGCAAAACGTCGTACTCGAATTGTACATTTGGTGGGTGTACTCTCCGACACACCGGTGTTGCTGCACTAGTAACGAATTGGCACGTTCTGTTCACGCGAGAAACCTTTTTAATTGGCTGTGTCGGGTTGTGGCGGGTTTAACGACACATTTATATATTTACGCGATCTAACCCAAAAACCTTTATTATGGATCACATCCTCTTATTCGAGGTTTTACTTTCAGCCCCCTATTCCCCAGCAATGAATTATGAATGAAATTACCTCGTGTACTCCTATTAACCGAAAACATTTCACAGATAAAAGGAAGCTCTCAGGCAAAAACACATCCCATCCTATTATCCGCGATCTTGTTTTCTCCACAGCGGATGAATGTGAATGTGTGGTCTCCCAGGTGAGCACGGACAAGAAGAGGAGGAGGCATCACTGCCAGGTTGTGCCAAAGCGATTGGACCGCATCACTTCATTCATACAATCGGTGTGTTGTTGTTGTTGATGTTTTTCTGACATTAACAACAACAACACGATTGTCACACTTTTGGCCGACTTGTGTACCATTTACGCACACGCGCGCCTTCTCTGCTCCGAAACGTCCCCCATTTACAGAGTTGACGGAAGAAGAAATAAACTCAACTCGTGAAGGGCCATTGCCCGAAACGTCGCCTATTATACGATAACGTTTGTGCCCCCTTTGGAGGCCACGCACGCGGCGTCACGTGACGACTTACTTTGCCTGCGCACCGCTCGCCCACCACCGCTGCCAACGCAGCAGCAGCAAACGAACATCATCACCATGGTCGCCGTGGTGGTTCTCCGAGATTATTTTCACCACACCCACAGGTCTCTCGCTCGGAGACTTAAGAGAACGACAATTCGGCTCTCGCGATGGGTTGTAGAGTTCACGTGCGTGCTTATCGGGCACGGTGTTTGACGGCGGTGAGCGCATCTTGCCGTGTTCACGTTCCAGGGACGTGACGGAGGGTGGTCGCTCTCACCGGCCACGTCAGCTCCGACGGGAATTCCGCTCGCGATCGGCGGCTTTTGTTGGGCGAGCGTAAATGTGTCGTGAACGCACCTTCACGCGGCGCAGCCCCATCATCGGTAGGGTTTGTCCCGTGAGCAGAACGTGCCAACTTGTGATGAGTTCGGCTCGCCAGTCGCGTGTTGAAGAGCAACCACACGCACGCATCACGTTTACAACGGAAAATTGGAACGTTTCGTTGACGTGACACATCTTGCTAATTGGCTGCGTCGGGTGGCGGTGGGTGTACGACACATTCACATTTACGCGATCTGTGTAACCCACAGGAAAACTTTGTATCGTGAAAATTATTGGGTCACGAAAACCTACACCGTGTTGAATTATTATCTCCACTCAACCGCGACAAACGCGCCTGGTGGAGCTCAGTGGACTGGACGTGATGATGGGGGGTTCATGATGACACCGATGGTGGCGATGGATGACGGCCATGATCATGGTGATGATCACGTTGATATTGATGATGGTGATCGTAAAAAAAAAATTATGGTGATCATCATTGTGATGATGATAATAATCATGGTGATCATCGTGGTGATGAGTATTTTATGTGATCATGTTGATGATAATCATGGTGGCGACAATGATGATAATCGTGGTGATGAATACAATCATGGTCATGATAATTGTGATGGTAATCAGTGATGGTAATCATGATGACCGTGGCAACCAGGGTAGTGATGATGATGACGGTAATAATCACGGTGGTGAACATAACCACGGCACAGTAGTGACGATCAAATCCTATCTGAGATCATCCATCATCCCCACGATGTCAACGGGTGCTACGTGCTATGCACGCAGAGGGCCATTGCCCGAAACGCCGCCTCTTAAATACGGCCACGCACGGTGTTGCTGACGAGTGCGTCGTGGTTCTGGTCGATACCGACACACGCGCACACGAGGGTTGGCCAAACATCTGAACGCAGGCGAAGTGTCCTCCTGCCAACGCGTCTCGAGACTCAGCAGCGAGGCGTCACCACACCGAGTCCTACAGGGAGACTCAGTTTTCAGGACCATTCGGCGTACAGCCGTTTCAATACGGGCAACGACAACAACAACAACGTGTTGTCTATTTATTTGTGTTTCTCCCTTGCGATGGCACTTTGTAGGATGAACATTGAGATAAGGGCCACGGGGTGACCAATAAGGTCCGAGTTGGTCTCTAATAAGGTGAGCGGTAGGCAGGCAAGCGGTGGGCAGATAACCGGTAAGCGCGTTACTCGTCGCAGTACCGACACGGCAAGCGGCAGCGTGAGTACAGAACGTGCAGCACCTGACATGGGAGGCGAGGTGGGGCTGGCTGGGTGAAGGCGCTCCTCGAGTAGACCTCCTTCCCCAAACGTCGGAACTACGTCGCCTTCTCGCTGGGTTGAGACGTCGTGAAGACAGAGCGAGGCGTGGTGCTGGAGGTGGTCACCACGGCTGCTCACGATGGTCGTGCTACCGCTGCTGCTGTGAGTTCTCCTCTCGCCGGGAGCGTTCGGCAGAGGCCGGGTGGCGTTGTCTGGAATCCGATGGAGACTCGGGCAGCGGCAGCAGCAGCAGGAGGAGGGAGGGAGGCGATTGTGGGTGGGAGCGCGGCGATGCCGAGCCCACTGTTTGCGCTGTTGCCGACGGAAATGAAGATGCCGATGAAGCTGGCGACTGCTGCTGCTGCTGCTGGTGATGGTGGTGCAGCTGTTGGACCTGAGAACGGTGATGGAGACGAAGTCGCTACTGACGAAGCTGCTGCTGCTGGAAGTGTTGTGATGAAGTTGAAAAAGGCTCCTGCTGCTGCTGCTGCTGCCGATGATGATTACTCTCCTCCTCCTCCTGCTGCTGCTGCTGATGACTCTGCTCTTGCTGCTGCTGATGATGATGGTGACTCTGCTCCTGCTGCTGATGATGTTGTTGTTGGGAGTTTCTGGCTTCCTGGTTGAATGAGTTTGCTGCTGCGGCTGCTGATGATGATGACTGTGACGCGTCCGCTGATGCTGCTGCTGCTGATGAAGCTGTTGCGGCTGTTGCTGCTGAAGTGGAGTTATGGGAGGGAGGAAGGAAGTGAGGGAGGGCGGAGTTTGGCAAAGACGGCTTTGTAATAAACTACTCGCACACACTTAGTACCACACACACACTCTTACCACTCACACACCACACACTTACTCACACACTCACACTTAGTACCACACACACTCACACACTTACACACACACTCACACTTACACTCACACTTAGTACCACACACACACTCACACACCACACACTCACACTTAGTACCACACACACTCACACACTTACTCACACACTATTACCACTCACACTTAGTACCACACACACACTCACACACCACACACTTACACACTTACACACGCACTCACACTTAGTACCACACAAACTCACACACTTACACACACGCTCACACTTACACACACACTCACACTTAGTACCACACACACTCACACACTTACACACACACTCTTACCACTCACACTTAGTACCACACACACATACACACCACTCACACACCACTCTTACCACTCACTACCACACACACTCACTCACACACTTACACACACACTCTTACCACTCACACACTCACACACACTCACTACCACTCACTACCACTCACACACACACTCACACACTTACACACACACTCTTACCACTCACACACATCCTCACACTTATTACCACATACACACCACTCACACACACTCACACACGCTTAGTACCACACACACACACACTCTTACCACTCACACACACTCACACACTCACTACCACTCACACACCACTCTTACCACTCACACACACTCACACACTCACTACCACTCACACACCACTCTTACCACTCACACACACTCACAGACACTCACACACACTCACACACACTTAGTACCACATACACACACCACTCACACACACTCTCACCACTCACTCACTCACACCACTCACTCACACTCACACCACTCACTCTCACCACTCACTCACTCACTCACACCACTCACTCACACCACTCACTCACACCACTCACTCACTCACACCATTCACTCTCACCACTCACTCACACCACTCACTCACACCACCCACACACTCACTCACTCACACCACTCACTCACACCACTCACTCACACTCACACCACTCACTCTCACTCACACCACTCACTCACACCACTCACTCACACCACTCACTCACACCACTCACTCTCACCACTCACTCACACCACTCACTCACACCACTCACTCACACCACCCACACACTCACTCACTCACACCACTCACTCACACCACTCACTCACTCTCACTCACACACTCACTCACACCACTCACTCTCACCACTCACTCACACTCTCACCACTCACTCACACTCTCACCACTCACTCTCACCACTCACTCACACCATTCACTCTCACCACTCACTCACACCACTCACTCACTCACACCACTCACTCACTCACACCACTCACTCACACCACTCACTCACACTCTCACCACTCACTCTCACCACTCACTCACACCATTCACTCTCACCACTCACTCACACCACTCACTCACTCACACCACTCACTCACTCTCACCACTCACTCACACCACTCACTCACTCACACCACTCACTCTCATCACTCACTCACTCTCACCACTCACTCACACCACTCACTCACACCATTCACTCACCCCACTCACACCACTCACACCATTCACTCTCACCACTCACTCACACCACTCACTCACACCACTCACACCACTCACTCACACCATTCACTCACTCACACCACTCACTCTCATCACTCACTCTCACTACTCACTCACACCACTCACTCACTCTCACCACTCACTCTCACCACTCACTCTCACCACTCACTCACACCACTCACTCACATTCTAACGGAACTCTCTCATACAGTGCTGTGTACACACGTGTCTTCATCATCGGCCTTAATAGGTGTTCACTAACAGCACTTGCCCCAACACTCTGTTTAGGTTAAGGGGGGGGGAGATATTCGTGTTTTCACAATTCACACGCAAGCACTGTGTGTACACACTCACACTCAAACGTGTGTTTAAAGTTACCACTAGTATACGTGTGTGTGCTTAGAGTTCAATGTCCTCCTGTGTGAAAGTGCGTGTGTGTTCAAAGTGACCGTGTGTGTGTTTAATGTCCACGTGTGTGACCGTGTGTGTGTGTCTGTCCACGTGTGTAAGTAAATGTGAAACTTGCAAGCGAAGAGCAGAGCGCGACGTGAGATATTCATTGCATCCATTCGTGTGCAATTCGTACGGGCGCGGTGACACAGACCTATTGCATGTAGAGGTTATAATTCCTTGTTCATCAAGACGTCCTTTTTACTCTGATGTCTCAACAGCGTCAGGGAGATCGCGTGACGTGAGGGTTCTGCCTTTGTAGTGAGGGTTGTGAGTTGATGCTGAGGAGGGGGGAGGAGGCGCCTCGCCCCCCCCCCCACGTGGAGTGACGTCAGCCGCTAATTAATATTAATGAGGGGGGCTGGCCGACGTGGATTGACGTCACGCGCGGGACACACAGACATTCTTGGCCCATGATAGTCGAGTGTTTATGAGCGAGTGTCTGTGTGTGTAAGGGGTCTTTGTCTTTGTAGCGGTTAGCGCTACGCTGCGCTATGAACCTGGCGACCCGGGTTCGATTCCCGCTCACGGCCAACACCGGTGACGATTATCTGAACCGGTCCTGGGCCTCCCCTAGGTCGACTCGGCCTCAAATTATTACCTGGTGCGGTGTGTGGTAAACATCGCCACCGGGAAGACAAAGGCGGTCGGGCGTGGTTCTGGCTACCCAACCCCTCGTGTTCCATTCCGGCCTTCATCGGTGCACGCTAACAGCACTTGCCCCAACAGTCTGTTCAGGCTATACGGGATCTTTGTTTAAAGTGACCACGAGTGTGTGTGTGTATGTTTACGTGTGTGTGTATGTTGATGTGTGTGTGTATGTTGATGTGTGTGTGTATGTTGACGTGTGTGTATGTTAACGTGTGTGTATGTTAACGTGTGTGTATGTTGACGTGTGTGTGTATGTTACGTGTGTGTATGTTAACGTGTGTGTATGTTAACGTGTGTGTATGTTAACGTGTGTATGTTAACGTGTGTGTGTATGTTAACGTGTGTATGTTAACGTGTGTGTGTATGTTAACGTGTGTGTGTATGTTGACGTGTATGTGTGTATGTTAACGTGTGTGTATGTTAACGTGTGTATGTTAACGTGTGTGTATGTTAACGTGTGTGTATGTTGACGTGTGCGTGTAAGTTAACATGTGTGTGTGTATGTTAACGTGTGTGTATGTTAACGTGTGTGTATGTTGACGTGTGTGTGTATGTTCACGTGTGTGTATGTTGCCGTGTGTGTATGTTCACGTGTATGTGTGTGTGTATGTTGCCGTGTGTGTTGAACCCTACCGGCCTTTCACGAGTGCTGCTCGCTAGCAGCACTTGCCCCACACAGTCTGCCAAAGCTATCCGGGGGATCTTTGTCTTTGTACGCACTGTACTACAACACACGCGGGGTGTGTAGTGGAGCGTGCATGCGGATGCCCTCTTGTCAAATCCACTGCTGGATGGGACAAGAGGTGGATATGTTTTGGCCATACTTCACCACGCTGGTCAGTGCGTGCCGGTGGGTGAAGTTGGGAGGGTGAGAGGGGAGTGCGACGATTGACATATTTGGCTGCACTGCCCTCTGCTGTGTGCGTGTTGTTAGTGTGGGGAGCGGTGGCGCAGCGGTTAGCGCTACGCTGAGCTACGAACCCGGCAGACCCGAGTTCGATTCCCGCTCACTTGCCCCAACAGTCTGTTCAGACTTTACGGGGGATCTTTGTCTGTGTGTGCCGCGTTCGATTTCCGCTCACGGCCAACACCAGTGACGATTATCTAAACCTGTGCTGGGCCTCCCCCTGGTCGACTCAGCCTCAAATGAGAACCTAGTGGCGGTGTGTAAACATCGTCACTGGGGAGACAAAGGCGGCCGGGCGTGGTGCTGGCCACCCACCCCCTCGTGTGCCACAGTTCCGGCCTTCATAGGTGCTGCTCGCTAACAGCACTTGCCCCAACAGAGTGTTGCAGGCTATACGGGGGATCTTTGTCTTTGTGCAATGCATCACCCGTGCACGTGTTTGTAGTTACATGTACACATCAACCGTGGGGGGGACACGTTGTGGTAACGACATGTTACACGCGTGTGCTTGGAGTGAAAACAGTGGGTGTGTGTAAAGTGATCTGCTAGGCCGCTTACACACACACACGAGTGTTTAAAAGTGTACATGGTTGTACTTGTATGAGCTTCCAACGTTTACACACAACGTATGTGCGCTTTCCGAGTGTTTATCACGTTGGTTGACATTGGGTCAACGTTGGTTGACGTTGGTTCAACGTTGGTTGACGTTGGTTCAACGTTGGTTGACGTTGGTTCAACGTTGGTTGATATTCTTTGGTTCTTTCGGTAAAGTCACGTAGATTGAAGAAAAATAAGAATAAAAAATTAAGTGAATAAAAATAATAAAAATAAAATACACATAATAAATAACAAAAACCACTAATGTAGACTGTAGCCTAGTTCTTAACCTCGGTGAGTGCACCGGCAGTCTATAATGTAGACTTATTCTTAGTTCTTTCAGTAAAAACACCACGACGTTTCGATAACGCAACACAAGCGGTTGTCATCAGGAAAAGGGGGGTTAGCCTCGAAAGGCAAACTGTTTATGAAGGTTTAGAGATGTTCGTGGCCCAAGTGTGTCAGCAGCATGGGGGGCGGGGCAACAGTCTGTTCAGTCGATACGGGGCATCTTTGTGTTTTGTGTGTGATGCCGCGTAACGATAACAGCAGCGACCGTTTCCACTCCGACCCCCCCCCCCCCCAGGGGTTTGTATCCGTGGACTCTCCCACACAGCCACAGATATCGACTCGAGCAGCCAGGCTAATAATATCCTGCTCAAACTAACATTGACGCTCCTCTCCTGTTTTACAGCTCTGAGCCAGCGGTGGAAAATGCCACGTTTCTCATTCCTTTGGCAGGGGGCGAGTCTCTCCACAGGATAACAGCTTTCCATCGTCGCGAAAACAATGTGCTGTGTTCAACTTGCATAGCTAGTTCTAGATTTGAAGCTTTCGTCACTGCAAGGATTCATAGGTAGCCTGCCCTCCCTCGACCAGGCCGCGAGATGGAACGATCCCAACTCCACGGGGCTCCGTCTTGGACAGCGCTCGCGAGGAGCTGTCCCCCACGCGGAGCGCTGTCCAAGCAGAGACAGCGTCGCCACCCAGCCCCCTCTGTGCCACCCAGCCCCCTCTGTGCCACCCAGCCCCCTCTGTGCCACCCAGCCCCCTCTGTGCCACCCAGCCTCCTGTGTGCCACCCAGCCTCCTCTGTGCCACCCAGCCCCCTCTGTGCCACCCAGCCCCCTCTGTGCCACCCAGCCTCCTGTGGGCCACCCAGCCCCCTCTGTGCCACCCAGCCCCCTCTGTGCCACCCAGCCTCCTCTGTGCCACCCAGCCCCCTCTGTGCCACCCAGCCCCCTCTGTGCCACCCAGCCTCCTCTGTGCCACCCAGCCCCCTCTGTGCCACCCAGCCCCCTCTGTGCCACCCAGCCCCCTCTGTGCCACCCAGCCCCCTCTGTGCCACCCAGCCCCCTCTGTGCCACCCAGCCCCCTCTGTGCCACCCAGCCCCCTCTGTGCCACCCAGCCCCCTCTGTGCCACCCAGCCCCCTCTGTGCCACCCAGCCCCCTCTGTGCCACCCAGCCCCCTCTGTGCCACCCAACCTCCTATGTGCCACCCAGCCCCCTCTGTGCCACCCAGGCTCCTGTGTGCCACCCCAGGCAGGTCTCGCTCCCCTTGGCGCCGAGAGTACGAAGAGTCTCCATCTCCTCCCGGCAGCCTCCCGGTGTGTGCGTGTACTGTATGTTAAACTTCTTTTGCACCGTACGTAACCAACCGTGCTAATCGGAGGTGCGGTCGACGGACAACAAACTAAACACAAAAAGCAGTTCTAAAGAAATGAGATGTAAACGTAGATTCCTAATATCGGAAGGAAGAGCGTTCCAGACGGCCGCAGAAGCACGCATCTGAAAGCACAGCGATGGGTTGGCCGTCTCCGTTCGATGTCCAGCAGCCAAAAGCCGCCGCCGTCGCTGCTGCTGCTGCGAGGATGGACCGGAGGACGATTTGTGCTCCTTGACCGGATCACCAAAGTGGCATCGTCGTTCATTCGTGGCAAGCTCTCTGTGTGCGACGAGTGCGAGCCGGGGGCTCCGCAGGGACACGTGTCCACGCGTCGCCGTCTCTCCCCTCTTCGTGGTCGGCGGCTCTGCGAGCCCACCGCCCCCCCCCCCCCCTCTCGGGACCCCTTCCATTTGAGCTGTCCACGGAACGCTCGAGTGTGCGGCGTTAAAAGTCCTTTCATCTCGACGTTCAATTACAGGGCCACAAATGGGCACCGCTCGGGGCTGTAATTGGGAGTGACTCAAAGGAAACGCAAGCGTCGAGGTCCGGGGGGGAGAGGGTGAAGAGGTCAGCGATGAAACCGCGAGAAACATTTGGCCCCCGGCCTTTGTCGAGGTCGACTCGAGCTGCCCCCCCAACACCCCCCCCCCCCAACACCGCCCCCCCCCCCCCTAACATCGCGTTGCGTGAGCCGCAAGTTCCAGGCAAAGTTCAAACTCGCGTGAAGATCCCGCGACTGTCTCTTGAATAAAACAAAACCCACATGACGCTGCGTGGCGGCTGGGTTTGACGCTGCGTGGCGGCTGAGCATGACGCTGCGTGGCGGCTGAGCATGACGCTGCGTGGCGGCTGAGCATGACGCTGCGTGGCGGCTGGGTTTGACGCTGCGTGGCGGCTGAGCATGACGCTGCGTTGCGGCTGGGTTTGACGCTGCGCAGTGACGCGTCAAGCTCGTGCGGGGCCTGTACCATGTGGGCTTCTAAAGGGGCCCTAAATATAAAAAAACACGTAAATGATAAAATAAATTTTACTTGCATAGAAAAGTAACTGTATTTTTTCATTTGCTATATAGCCAGATAATACGACAAATCGCTAACCTTAAACATCCAGTCGTTCATAGAAGTTGAAGGCGGTATAGTACTATAGTAATAGAGCAAGTGCAGAATCACTGAACCGGAATTGATAGCTTGAAAACGTGTAGTAGTAGTACTACACGTGTGGTAGTAGTAGTACTACTACATGTAGTAGTACTACTACTACATGTAGTAGTAGTACTACATGTAGCACTAGTACTACTACATGTAGTACTACTACACGTGTAGTAGCTACGACCTCGTCCCGCATGGCGATGCGCGGCTGTGCGAGGGTGCCCAGCGCCACCTGGCGGACAGCGCTGCTACGGCGCCTGAGGTGTCACGGCGCTCACGTGACCCCTGGGCACGGCCCCACGTGGAGTCCCCTTGGCCCACGTGACCCCTGGGCACGGCCCCACGTGGAGTCCCCTTGGCCCACGTGACCCCTGGGCACGGCCCCACGTGGAGTCCCCTTGGCCCACGTGACCCCTGGGCACAGCCCCACGTTGAGTGCGGTGCGTGCGCTCTCCCGCCCGCAGCGCTGCTGAGCCAGTGACCGTGGGAATTCCACATTGACACGGGGGGTTGATCCATAGGATAACCACCGTTGGCTGCCTCACAATGTGGTAGAGTATAGAATTCATTGTATCGACCCGCCAGTGATGATGTGCTGAGGGTATGTAACTGTACTGCTGACATGTGCTAACCACTGCGCCACCACACCCACCATGCAAAGATCCCCCGTGTAGGCGAACCATCATTTGGGGAAAGTGCTGTTTGCGAGCACCTATAAAGGCTGGCACGGTGCACGAGAGCGGCCAGCACCACGCCCGGCCGCCTTCGTCTCCCCAGTGGCGATGTCTACACACCGCACCAGGTACTCATTCGAGGCCCAGTCAACACGACCGATTCATATAATCGTCAGTGGAAATTTGCCGGTTTCGTCGCGCAGTGCACTCATCGCAAAGACAAACACGCACACACACACGCGTGCTCAGGGTGAAGACTTGGGTTTGTTTTAATCTCATATCAGCTGGGAGTCACGTAGGAAACTGGTGGGTCAAAGAGCACTGGGGTTCACGCGAGGAAGCACTGTCGTTGGCACTTTGCTTTGAGCACACATCCAAGCGCCTCACAAGGAAACGAAAGACCCCACAGGCGAGAGGAGAGCGAACGAACCAAGCCCGGGTCGAGACGAGTGGCGGTGACGGCGGCGTCCGGAGCTCGCAGTCGTGACACGGCCCACACCCTGCCAAGCGCAGCCCCCCCCCCCCCCCCCCCCCGCTGATACAAACAAGGGGGCTCAGGGGGTCCCGTAAACGCGAGGGGGGCCTGGGGGATTGGGGAGGGGGGCCGCGGTCACTCACACGATGTCTAAACACGCGGACATCATCGATAATGATAACAGGGCGAGGAGCAGGGGGGGGAGGGCGGGGGGGTCAGGCGTCACTTCCCAGACATCCCGGGGGGTGGAGATGGGAACATCCCGGGGGGGGGGGGGGGGGTCCGCAGCGCACGCGGGCACGGGAGGGAGACACCGCGGTCGGGGCGTGATCCACACGCCCAGGGCGCTTCAGACGAGATGTGGACACTGACTACGGGACCATGGTTTTCAATGTACCACTGTGACATGATGACGAGTGTGACGTTATTAGCTTCAAAAAGTCCTCCACTTGTTCGCCATCGTTGTCAAACCATGCCCTGGAGTCTTCTCCAGGTGGTCTCCAGAGCCCGGAGTCGCAGCGTTTATTGTGCTGTTATTGCAAATTCTCAGAAGTGTTAAAAACAAATTTAATGCACATGCACCCTGTATACCCCGCTGCTATCTGATGACCATCTTGACTTTACCCTCCAACAGCTGATGCGTGTCCGTCAGGGGCCATCTACGTACGGTCCACCGTGGGCCCCACCACCCCAGTGAAGGCCCGCGCCCAGCCGGGTGCTGCAGGCCCTGCCTGTTGGGCAGCAGGGCGGCCTGCCTTGGGGCTCGTGGGTCCCCGGCAAACGCTCGAATTCCGAAAACGTCGCTCGAACGGTCGTAGCGACTGCTGCGGCGACTCGGGCGACAGCTCCGCAATTCTACACAAGTGTTTAACGCGAGTTTGCAAGCGAACAGCATTGAGATTTGAGAGGGCTTCCTTCATGGCTTGCTAGCCGCGGGCTTGTGAGGATTGAGGTTCGTTGGGAGGCGTGGCGAGGCTTTAAACTACAATTAAAATGAGGACCTCGATACGAGTTCTGCAGATTGCGGTCAACATCGCCAACCACGTGGTGCAGGCGTAGAGGGAGCGTCCCGCAATCTGAAGGCTGGCCAAGTTCACATCCAGGTGGGGGTTGTCTTTGGCCCATCATTTTTCGGGGGTCGATAAGATATTTTATCCACTTTGTGGGCAAGTCAACCGTGGCCGTCCTATGGATATACTCTCCTCCGCCATGTGAACGTGGAGTATCCACCACTGGCTCAGCAGGGCTGTAAACGGGAGACCAGCAGCAACGCCGCCAATCCACATTTGAGCCAGGAGCTCACTTTTGGAGTATCTATAAACGGATCGGTACAGCAAACTCCACGTGACTGCCCAGGGCGGCACGGACGCCTCAGGGCCTCTGTCCCCGGCACTGCCTGCAGGTGGTCACCCTGCGGCAGCAGTGGCGTGGACAACCCACAGCCCAAACCCCCACAAGCTCATCCCTCGCGCTCTCTCTCTCTCATTGGTTAATCGCACACGCGGTCAGAGAGCGAACCCCGAGTGAAGAGCCACGTGACGCCCCCCCCCCCTCCCCCAAGTACTTTAAATAGTTTGTGCACTTTTCGTAAAAATCTATCATCGTCGTCATTATGATTATTACGCCGAGCACTGTACTACTACTACGACTGTTGTTGTTATTGCAGTTCATTCACAACGGACGGCTGTGTGGCCCAAGACTCGGCGTGCTGCGCGGGGCAGGGAGTCGCGGGTTCGTCGCACTGGCGGAGTCAGTAGGGGGGGTGGGGTGGCACGTGCCCCCCCCCAATGATCCGATCGAAATCCCTAATTTCGATCGGATCATTAGGGTTTATTAGTAATTGTGACCCCCACTGCCACTGTGTAGCATATTATTACGTGCCAGGGACTCTATGAGATGATAGGACAATAGTCTGAGTCCGTAATTGGCAAAAGTAACGGCAAAGCAGTTATAAGTGACTCACAGAATTGTGCGCAGTTGCGTATACAGCACACGACTTCCCTGAAGGCATCAACACCTTCAGCGAGCGCGATTCCGATCACACAACGCGGTTCGAATTCGACCCTCGATCGATGGCTGCGCCATCGCCGCACACGCGTCGAATAAAAAGCAAGGGACAAGTCCTTACTTACTAACAACAACTCCTTTCATTTTTCATAGCTGGAGGGGTTGCCCCCCCCCCCCTACCTGATAATCCTGGCTCCGCCATTGGTTCGTCGGTTTTGACCCGGGACATCTCTCTGCACAAGATCTTTGCGGCTCATCGGATTCCTCCAAGATCAATAAATATTCTCTGAATCGAACTGACAGCGTCGTCGGTTGCTCCGTATTCAGTTCTGGGATGGGGGAGGGGGGAGATTTGGGGATGAGATTTGGGGGTGAGATTTGGGGGTGAGATTTGGGGTGAGATTTGGGGGAATTCCTTCTGGTTGGCACGGCGAGTTGCGGCACCCCGGGCCGGAGTTGCCCACATTCGGGGTGGATCTCCCCTTCCTCGAATTCGCTTCGTGGGTGACTCGCCGGGCGAATATGCGCGAGACATAATTATGCGGGAAACAATTCTCATGTAAATAAACGTTACGCAATTACGGCGAACGGGTTTGAGGCGAGGTGTGACAATCGTGGGCGACGATTCCATCAAGACGTCAATGATCTCCGTGGCATTTTTGTTGCAGGTAGGGCGGCCGACATTGGCCGCCGGATCACGAGAGCCGATTAAATACCAAAGACAAAGACCCCCCGTAAAACCTTCATGTACTTTTGGGCAAAGTGCTGTTAGCGAACACACATGAGCAACCACCACGAGGGGGTGCAGGTGGTGCAGGTGGAGCATTCCCCCTCCCCAGAGCTGTTGGGTGGGTGGTAATGGGGGTAATGGGGGTAATGGGAGGATGGTGGGTGGTAATGGGAGGTGGTAATTGGGGTGGGGGGTAATGGGGGTAATGGGGGTAATGGGAGGATGGTGGGTGGTAATGGGAGGTGGTAATTGGGGTGGGGGGTAATGGGGGTAATGGGGGTAATGGGAGGATGTGGGTGGTAATGGGAGGTGGTAATTGGGGTGGGGGGTAATGGGGGGTAAGGGTGGTAATGGGGGTAATGGGAGGATGGTGGGTGGTAATGGGAGGTGGTAATTGGGGTGGGGGGTAATGGGGGGTAAGGGTGGTAATGGTGGACTCTTACAAACCTCCGATTAGCACGGTTGGCTACGTACGGTGCGAAAGCTCAACACACACACTACATACACACACACTACATACACACACACTACATACACACACACTACATACACACACACTACATACACACACACTACATACACACACTACATACACACGAGCCGACGCGTGTGCGTATGAACACGTGTGAGTGTTGCGTGTGCAGTGTGTGCTGTTGTGTGCAGTGAGTACTGTGTTGTGTCTACAGCACTGTTGTGTGTTCGTGGCGTGTGGGCTGCTTCACGTATCAAGCTGAATCACCTGTGTGCCCAGGTGAGAACTCCCGCCACCAGGATGTGAGTCTCAGTTGTCAGAGTGAGCTGGGGGCCTGAGTGTGCCAGTGGGGGCGGGGTGCGATGATCGCCGCGGTGGACAATCCCGACCGAGTCTCTCGCGGTGTCGACCTGGCCAATGTTGCACCCCCCCCGGTGGCCGGCACACCACGGGCCCCCTTGCTCTCTCCCGGACGACCTCGCCGATGACCTCATCCAAGAGATCTTTTCAACCTCCACGGTGAATGCGGCGCACCGCGCGCGCTCTGGCGCCGCACCGCGGTCGACGCCTCGGCAGTAACCGGGGCGGCCCGCTGGAGCCGAACCGTGAACCTCGATGGCCATCTGGGCCATGCTGTGCGGGGTCGCGAGGTCCGGGGGGATTGAATGGCTGCAGGGCCCAAAATGAATTAAGTCGGCACCGCAGAGTCCAAATAATTTGTGTTTTTTATATTCGCGTGCCCGTGTGTTTGCGCGTATGCCTTTGTGTGTGTGTAGGTGCGCGTGTGTGTGTGCGTACATGTGTGTGCGTGCAAACACATTTGAGGGGCGATCAAAACAATGTTTGAGGACGGGCTGATGATGAAAGCAGACTAATATTGACGTTTCAATATAACCGTAACTGCCTTAAGTCTCGACTCACCGATCGCCCCTTTGTACATTTGTTGCGAAAGGAGCCAGCTTCGCGACATTCACACATTGGTGCTTTGATTTTCTCAATAAACTAACTCGTACTCGTCGCACGACCACGTGTCGCAAGGACGCAATGATGGGTAGCAGGTGCGTCCCGTTCTCAAAACACTTTTGACCGCCTCTCGTTTCAACACGTTCGCACGCGCACACGTACACACACGTGCGCATAAAGCCGCTTCAATCTTCAGAGCAGAAGTGCCGTACGTCTCTTTCCGACGTGAAGCGAGCGCCGGGCGCAGTAACGCCGATGGGTGAACGAGTCTCGAGCGAACGGAGTACGTGAAGCGGCGACAACGGCCGTGTTTGAGCCCGTGGAGGCGACCAAGGCAATGACGACGATGGTGACAATAACGGTGATGATGAAGACGACGATGATGACGATGGTGACGACGATGGTGACGACGGTGAAGATGCTCCCGTGTGCTCAGTGAGCGTCTCCGAGCGTCGGTGACACGAGCGGAGCGCGACCACGTGACGTTAATCCCACTTAATGCCAAAATATATCGGTCTTTCTGTAAAACCTAAAACACCGCGACGTTTTCAATAAATTACACCGTACTTAAATAGTCCAAGATTTCATGGTGTGACGCCCTTCAGCAAAGTGTGCAAAACCGGTACCTACATCCTGTGTTTAAGACGACTCGAATGGGGGGGAGAGAGCGGTGGCGCAGGAGTGAGTGCGCCGGGCAGCCCAGCGACCCGAGGGTTCAATCCCAACGAGCCGCGGTGGCGAGCGATACGCGCGGACCGGTCCCCAGCAATCCCCACCACCAACCCGCACCGATCAGCGCGGTCAAGTATGGTCAAACAACTTGAACATTGCGGCATGGCGGCGGGGGGCGGCTTAATCCGACCGTAAAAGATCGTTCGGTGGATAACATCCGGGACGGAGGCGGTTGCGGGTTTGTTCATGCGCGCGACTAAAACCGACCTGCCATGAAAACGGCTCGTCGGCAGGATGACACGCGCGTGACGTTCCCTCGTGCCAAAAGGGGTGCCCCCCCCCCCCCGCCTTTTGGCGATGGGAACGCGCCGCGAGTTTTCCAAAATCAACGCGAGTTGAGCGAGCGGGCGCGTCACATGGAGCGGACGCACGTGAACACGATGCCCGCGCCGCGCGGAGCGGACGCACGTGAACACGCAAATCATCGCTTCTCCGGTACCGATATGAGTAAGTGCGTTCTCTGGGGCGGAGTGTGAGAGGCGGAATTGCTCTGTGCTCATACAAGGAGGAGAGTTTTAAAGAGGGCCACGGGAAAAAATAAATAAGCCCAATCGTTAACTCATTACGATAAACTAAACGATTTTTTTAAAACAATTTTTTCATTTGATCAGGTAAGGCGCCACTGAGCTACGTAGCTCTTCCACAGAAGTGACCTGGCCATCACGAATGACAGCTGAATGAAGTGGCGGCAGACCATGTGGATATTGATAGCAGCCAATGATCTCAACGCATGTTTCTAAATGTGGAGGGGGAAAAAAAAACACCGAAGGACTCGGAGAAAAATCCACACGCGTGCAAGCGTGGCCACGCTTTCACATCCAACCAAACATAACCACACGCGCTCACACGCGCTCACACACACGCCCTCTCAAATAAATATATGTAGTGTGATCATACACGCACGCACGTACACACACACAACATGCCCCTCTGTCTCGCTAGCGAGACACTATCAGGGCCGAGTCCAGTGTGACCAAGCCACCACGCCTGGCCACCCTCGTCTCTCCCAGTGCTGACGCGTACACGGTGCAGCAGGGACTCGTTTCAGGTGACGCTGACCCTGGGGACGGCCCAGGGCCGGTTCAGAGATCACTCGCGACCGACGCTGGCCGTGACCGAGGCGTCGGCATTGGTGGCGCGCTGCGCTAACCACTGCCCCACCGCTCCGCGTACAACCCTTAAGCACGCAGACACGCACTCGCGCGAGTACCCACGCTCGCGGAAGCCGAGGCTTAGGTCGAAGTTTGGGGTCAGCGAGTCGCAGGGTCGGGCGTTGGCGAGCGGCGCCAAGCGGAACCCACGTCCCTCCATCTTTGGTCAGGCTTCGTGCGTCACTTACAGCAGTCGGTCGGTCCACCGCTCGACCGTCAAAACAATCGTCCGCCGGTTAAACAGCCAACCGTCAATCCGTCAACCGTCGGCCAAACGGTCACCCGTCAGTTACCGGTCGCCCCCGTGGGCTCAGAGTTTGTGTCGCCCAGCTGAGCGCGGTGGCGCTACCGCTCAAGCGGCCGACGGTCAGCGCTCGTCACAGCGAGGCGCCAACGCACACGTGCATGTGTTAGCACGTGCACAGCGTCCGTGTAAACGAGCGCGCCGACGCACACGCTACACGGGACACGGTATAACCACATCGAGACACGGTATAACCACACTGAGGCATGGTATAACCACACTGAGACACGGTATAACCACACTGAGGCACGGTATAAACCACATCGAGATTGGGACGAGTCGCACGGGAGTTGGCGGCTCGACGCCGTAGGGAAGTGCTCACTACCACAGACAGGTATTGCTGCGACGATAAACGAGTCTACCTGCGGGCCTAAAATTCCGCCACAAACTAAATGCCACTAAGTCCGCTTACTTCTCAAAAGGATGTTTCTAAGACGGGCATCCAAACCGCCGCATTATTTTGTTTTAGAGGCGAGTATCTCTCTCGCTCCACGCCACTAACAATCAAGTTGTAGTTCCATCCGCTTCCCATCTGCGCCGTCAATTGCGGCCGGAGTCACCGCTCGTCCGAGCCGGCCACCGCACCGCCACGGTCGACGTAACCTCGGTCCGCGCCACGACGCGGTTACGGAACGACGCCGGGGACGCGACGGGTTGTCGCGGCGCACGCCGCCGGCGTCTCAGCCGCCACCGCCGCCCGCTGGCCGAGGGCCTCCGCGCACGCCGACGCCGCTGCCGCTTGCCACGGCGGCTCCCCTCCATCGCCACGGCGGCGTCGCTCGCGCTCCTACGCCGTGGGCTCGTGATGCGCTCGCTGCTGCTGCTGCTGCTGGGAGTGGAAGTCCAAACGTCCGAAATGGTCGTCGCTGAAGATAAGCTCGTCGTCCACCTCGAGCAGCCCCGTGCTGTCGCCCCCGCTGGTGCCGCCCCCGCTAGTGCCGCCGCCGCCACGTGCCGACCCAGGGGACGCCCTCGCTTGGCCGCCGGATGGTCTGGACAGGGAGGACGACGAGGAGAACGAAGTTGGGAGGATGGAGACAACAGGAAGGCAACGACGGACGGCCACGGCGACGAGAGGGAGGGGCGGGAAGGGGTGGTCACGTGACGCGGCGGCAGCGCGATCGCCGCTCGTTGCAAAGGGCCGCGAGCTCGACCCCGACAAGCCGCCCCCCGGTTATGACTACGGTGCGCGTATTGACGGTCGAAATTCTACGCTGGGTCTGCTTCACTCACGGTGGACCTTATTAGAGATCCCGTGACGCCGTTCGAAGAAGAGCAGCTGGCCATTATGCGTCACGGTGCCAATTTGTCAAATTCAAGTAATTGGGCTGACAACCAACATAATCGCCCCTCGTGTGAAACTACCGCAGACTGCGTCCGTGAAACACAGCGGCGCCCTTCTTCGTGACTGCAGCCCTGCGCTAGAACAATGGCACGATTGCCAAATGTACTAAATCCCTATCAATAGCAGCCGATAACAACCTGTTTGTGCATCCCAACGATATCCAGGCTTAACGCCTGCTTGGCTTATGAGATCTGATAAGATCCGGTGCACATTACCTGATTTGGTCATAGGCTCGCGACAATTATAAAGATGCCCCGAATAACCTTAACAGACCGTTGGGGCAAGTGCTGTTAGCGAGCAGCACCTATGAAGGCCGGCACGGCACACGAGGGGGCGGGTGGCCAGCACCACGCCCCGCCACCTTTGTCTCCCCAGTGGCGATGTTTACACATCGTATCAAGTACTCATTTGAGGCAGAGTCGTCACCAGGTGACGATTCTCTGAACCGGTGCTGGGCCGCCCCTTGGCAAGCACACGCCCACAAACACACGAAGTCGTGGCAACTTTACCGATGGCTTCAGGGTCGCACGGTGGCGAGATGTTAACTACCTCACCAGGTATACAGGATCACACACTAACACGCACCACCCACCCACACGCACCTCACACCCACACGCACCTCACACCCACACGCACCTCACACCCACACGCACCTCACACCCACACGCACCTCACACCCACACGCAGCTCACACCCACACGCACCTCACACCCACACGCACCTCACACCCACACGCACCACACACCCACACGCACCACACACCCACACCCACACGCACCTCACACCCACACGCACCTCACACCCACACGCACCTCACACCCACACGCACCTCACACCCACACGCACCTCACACCCACACGCACCTCACACCCACACGCAGCTCACACCCACACGCAGCTCACACCCACACGCACCACACACCCACACGCACCACACACCCACACGCACCACACACCCACACACACCACACACCCACACGCACCACACACACCACACACCCACACGCACCACACACCCACACGCAGCTCACACCCACACGCACCACGCACCCACACGCACCACGCACCAACACGCACCACACACCCACACGCACCTCACACCCACACGCACCTCACACCCACACGCACCACACACCCACACGCACCAACACGCACCACACACCCACACGCACCTCACACCCACACGCACCTCACACCCACACGCAGCTCACACCCACACGCAGCTCACACCCACACGCACCACACACCCACACGCACCACACACCAACACGCAGCTCACACCCACACGCAGCTCACACCCACACGCAGCTCACACCCACACGCAGCTCACACCCACACGCACCACACACCCACACGCACCACACACCCACACGCACCACACACCCACACGCACCACACACCCACACGCAACACACACCCACACGCACCACACACCCACCACACACCCACACGCACCACACACCCACACGCACCACACACCCACACGCAGCTCACACCCACACACACCACACACCCACACGCACCACACACGCACCACACACCAACACGCACCACACACCCACACGCAGCTCACACCCACACGCACCACACACCCACACGCACCACACACGCACCACACACCAACACGCAGCTCACACCCACACGCAGCTCACACCAACACGCACCACACACCCACACGCACCACACACCCACACGCACCACACACCCACACGCAGCTCACACCCACACGCACCACACACCCACACGCACCACACACCCACACGCACCACACACCCACACGCACCACACACCCACACGCACCTCACACCAACACGCAGCTCACACCCACACGCACCGCACACCCACACGCACCGCACACCCACACGCACCTCACACCAACACGCAGCTCACACCCACACGCACTACACACCAACACGCACCTCCTGCGACACTTAACAGGCGTAGCACAAACGTCCCGCCACGCAAGACGAATTCTCTCCGTGTATAAACATGCACAGTAACGCATGGCCTCGTCACACACAAAGACAAGGATCTCCCACGTCGCCTGCAGAGGCTGTTGGGGGAAGTGCTGTTAGCGAGCGCCTATGAAGGTCAGCAAGAGGGGGTGGGTGGCCAGCTCCACGCCCGGATGTCTCCCCAGCGCCAATGTTTACACAGCACACCAGGTGGGCATTTGAGGCCGAGTCAACCTAGGGTAGGCCACGGGGATTCGCAGCGCGGTGCGCGAACCACTTTGCCGCCGCTCCCCGTATACGCACACGGTTAGCGCACACACGATTGTGAAAAAACACAACAGAATGGACTCAAATCCTTTTCGCTTTAATCGCCGCACGATGTTCCTCTGCGGCACCGTGGGGATCGCTCATCGCCATCGCCGCCGCGCCACTCCTCTCTATTTTAAGTTCGCAGCTCCCGGCAAAATTCATTACCACGATGTTAACCCTTGCCCTCAAAGGCAAAGATCCCCCGCATAGCCTTAACCGACTGCTGGGGCAAGTGCTGTTAGCGAGCTCCTATGAAGGCGGCCACGGCACCCCAGGAGGTGGGCTGGCCAGCACGACGCCCGGCACCAGGTACTCGTTTGGGGCCGAGTCGACCTAGGGCAAGCCCAGGACCGGTTCAGATACTCGTCACCGGCGTTGGCCGTGCGGCCAAACCCGGCGAGAGCGCCGCTGAAGCCGCCGCTGACCGGCTCCCGCCGTCGTCACGTCTTCCACCCGCCCAAAAACACGAACACCTCGCGTGCGTCCAACTCCACCCAACTCCACCCAACTCCTCCTCGCCCACCGCGTGACAACCCCGCGGTGCCGGCACGCCTCGTGTTGGTGGCCAACAAACGACGCGGCGTGATGAGCGCAACGCACGACGGCGCCGCCCGGGAGCGGCTCGGCCAACGGGAATGTCGCACCCCCTACCTGGCAGACCGTGGTGCGGGGGGGGTGAATGATTCACTTCAGCCCCCCACCCACGCCCCCCAATAAAAAAAATCCCCGTTGGGTGGGGGTCGAAGGTAAAGGAGCGCGAGGGGTGGTGCCGCTGAGAACCTGGGTTCCAATCCGGGCTACCGCCTGGGATTAGACCTGGTTCTCAAGCCCAGTGAGTTGATGATCTCAGCCTGGTCACCAGTGACTCCCGTAGAGACCCATAGACTCACAGAGGTCCCGTACTCTCACATAGAGATCCACAGACTGGCATAGAGACCCACAGACTCAAGTAGAGATCACAGACCCACGTAGACTCACATCGAGGCCCATCGACTCCCATAAACTTACACAGACACCCATAGACTCACATATAGATCCCATACTCTCCCATAGAGATCCCATCGACTCAGAGACTCACAGACGGTGTTGTGATTAAACGGGGTTCTCAAGTGTAGCGAGTTCATTGTCTCAGCCTGATCACCAATTACCGCACACAATAAAAAACGAACAGGTTAAATGTGGTTTCTGAACTTAATGTGGCTGAATTCCAACTCTGAGAATTTTAAATACATTTGAATGTCACGCTACGAACATTACTCTCATATGACAGAGCGGGTGGTCAAGTGTTGCCCTCTACCGTGTGTGGACCAGAGACCACTTCAAGAAGGGATCTCGGATTTAGCTCTGCGATATCCGCTTCTGTGGGCCGTTCTCTTCACGAGAAGAAGTTGCACGCACAGACACACACGCAAGCACACACGCACGCATGCACGCACACACACAGGCACAAAAAGACAAAGACACCCACACACGTAGACATACACACAGGCACACAGACACACATGCACAACGACGCACACACACACACACGCACACAGACAAGCTCACGTGGCGGTGGCGCCGCGCTTGGCCGTGACGGCGGGGCTGCTGTGACCGCCGCCGTGGCCCAGGTTGGCGCGCGTCCTCTCCAGCCGGGCGTCGATGCGGCTGAAGAAGTCGCTGGCCGTCACCTCGTCGTCCGGCGCCGCGTCCGGACGCCCGTCCTCGCGTGCAGCCTCCACCCTGCCATTGCTGCCGCTTCCACTCCCGCCTCCGCCACCAGTACCGGCGGCGAAGGTCGTGCCGGCGGGAGCGGCAGCACCGATGGGACCTTCGGTACCGTTGGAACCGGCGGCACCGGCGGTACCTTCCCCACCGTTGGCCAGGGGCTCGGCGGTGCGGCCGCCGCCGCCGCCGTTGCCGTTGTCTGGACAGTCGGGAGGCCCCGGGACCGGGATGAGCAGCGTGGTTCTCAGGAAGAGCGACTCGTTAGCGAAGAGGTGGTTCGCCCGGCGGATCTGCTCCGTCTGGGAGGGGCAGAGGGCGGCGGGCGTGCCGGCGTTATGGGCGGGGTCCCAACGGCCCCGGGGTCCGCCACCGTGAGCGGTCTCATGAGTCCGGGCGTGCACAACTAAATTTGAAACTGTTTAATTTTGCCAGGTGAAGCCCACCGAGCTAGGAGGTCTTTTTCACAGGCGACCTCGCCACAAGCAATAGAAAGCTCGTCCAAGTCAATTCATAGTAGCGGCTCAATCATCTAAACGAGTGTTCCTAAATGTGGAGGGCACAAGTGGAGGACCGCCGGTGGGCCACTGATGTAGCACCAGTGGGGCCCAACAGTGGCCCACTAGTGGGGCCTACTGGTGAGCCACCGGTGAACCACCGGTGAACCACTAGTGAGCCACCAGCGGTCCGCGGAGGACCGGCTGGCGACCACTGCTCCAGACAAACAACAGCGAGTGGGGTACCAATAAGTCACGGATCTTAGACAGTAGGCTGGGCATGAAGCCGCCTGTCTGATCAACGCAGGAATGCGAACGCTCACGGGAGACCGGCACCATCGACCTCTCCACGATCCGCATCGGCGAATGCTGCGACCCGCTCCAGCGATTGGCGACGGAGCGGGTCACGTCGGCAAACCGCCCGCGCCGTTTCTACGATCCGAAGAGATCGGGGCGCGTTCAGGATGGTTTTGTCCAAGAGCAGAGGTTGTTGAAGCAACCAGAGACATTGAGAGGCAACCCAGCGCAGCCTGGTTTCAGGGCGGTGCAGTCAGAGAGCATTTTAAAGGCAGTGTGGCCTCCAGATCTAAGCTACGATTATTACTGCAATTTACACAACACACAGGTACACTGAACGTGTGTGCTTACACACAACACTTAAGCCATGCGTACACACAACACTTAAGACACCGCGCACACAGCAAACACTGCTGTATTTACATGCACACGAAGATAAAGGTCCTCCAGTTAGCCTGGTTCGACTATGGGGCAAGCGCTGCGAGACATTGTTAGAAAGCCCAACCGCAAATTGTTCGCATGGTGGGTTGTTGACCAGCAAAGTTCCCCCACATGCCCTGCTACAGATAAATATCAAAGTAATATTTGTGTCTATTCTTACAGCTGGAATTTAGACAATTAGGTGAGACGCCAAATGTGATCTGCTGTTTAATTCTGTGCACAGTCATTGGTGGGCATTGATATGAGATCTTCTTAAACGCAATGGGCCTCGTACGGAATAAACTCGGCTGACTTGAGTAGCAACTGGGCCGAGCCCATCACACTCTCTACATTCCCGAACCCCGGTTTAATCACGGGGGGCTGAAGGCACGATCGCAGATCCAGGATCTCGTAGCGCGCGTCACACTTGGGTGCTTGCCGACGCCTCCACGTGTGCATCTCGCTCTCCGCCACACCTCTCGCACAGCCGGCAGGCAAACAAAAAAAAACGAGGCGCTAATTAAACGGCGACTTTCACGGTGCTGCTCCAAACTTAAGCACGCCTGGGGATTTTTGCGCTCCGTCTATAAAAAGAAGCGAGAAGCTCGTGGCTACGTGGCCACCGTTGCCGACACGCTGGGCGGGGGGGGGGGGGGGGCAGTTCACCGCGCTAAGGGTATTTCATCTCCTACGCTTTGTTTTTTTTGGTAAAGTCACGTAGGTAAAACATTTAAATAAATTAAATCACGACGTTTCGGGCGCAACACAAGCATCCTTCTTCAGGTGGAGACAACTTAGCGAAAGCACACCGCTTAAGTGGTGTCTCACTTAGCGAAAGCACAACCGCTTAAGTGGTGTGCTTTCACATGGCGACGTGGCAGCGTCTCTATAACTGCCGTGCGCTCGAATCTCTCCATTGGCTGCCGGTGGGGTTTCCAAGATCATTATCCTCACCCACAAGGCCCTCAATGATGCTGCTCCCTCAATGACGATATATACAGGAGCTCCTCCTCCTTCGCCTCCTGTACGTTCCAACAAGAATTTTTCCGAGTGTGGCCCGCTGTGCGTGCCGAGGCGGCGTCTCTGTGCGACGACGATGGCCGAGGGCCTCTTCCTCGTGGGGCACCCCAGGCTGTGGAATTCACTTCCACTGGACGGTCACTCCGCTGTCTCCCCTCCTCACTTCATTCAAATCGTGCCCTGAACACGCAATTATGTTTGAAGGGCTTTTCCTATTTCTTAAATCTGTTTGTTTTGGGGTTGGATTCATTGGTGTCGGTCTGCGTGTGTTTGTGTGTTTTGCATTCCACATCATCATCACTTAGTGGCGAATGGCGGGTATTGGTATTGGTGTTTTGCATTCAGGCTGGCCTGCCGACGATCCATCCTGAGTTTAACCAGGCTGGATTGTGCGAGGACCCCACAAATCCTTGAAAGATCTGGACACATTCCCATCAGTGAGCTCCTCCGGCACCGCAGGCCCAAGCAGCTCTGTTTGGCCGGATAAAGGGGGCTAAGCGGGCACGACACGGGCTGGGGAGGAGACGAACCGATGCAGTACGGGAGGATGTGGAGCTGAGTGGACTTGCCAAAGACTGGTACCATCGGTGTCAAGATCGGCCTCTACAGAGGAGGCTCGTGAAGGATGCTACTGGGCAGCTGGAGGAAGTCGCCCTCCAACAACAACGGAGGGCGAAGGAGCGACGCTCACAACAACGAGCGGAGCGCCGGGCGCCAAAAATGCAGCAATTGGGCACAGTGGGCGGCATAGATGGTGCATCTGCCAGTCATCTCAGTCAACCCATGGCATCTGGATCTGTCCCGTGACCTCCTTCCAACGAGCCATCAACACTACACGTGGCCTTTGAGTGCATGTGGCCTGGCACAGACGCCGTAGTGACGTCACCGTCACTTAGTGGCGAATGGCGGCTGTTGGTATTGGTGTGTTTTGTAGATGGCCTTGTGACCTCCGGGTGAAATGCGCTTTAGAAGTGTGAATTATTATTATTCTTATTCGAGTGAAGAGAGTACACTTTGGTCAAGGAGATGTGATTTGCACGGGGCTATGGACAGGACAGCATCCTTTGCATCACTCACCTTCGTTTGTAAATTTCCCTTAACCGACTGGACAATTTACTGCCTTATCAGGGCCTCTGCACGTGCAATGGGTCATGGGGGCTATTTGACCATACTTCACCAGGCTGGTCTGTATGGAGTAAAGGCGGGCGCACAGACGATGGAGCACAGTACTGTACTAATCATGAAGCTGGAGCAGAGTGCAGCTCAACAATAGATTTCGCTGCAATGCCAATGGCTACGTACGGTGCGAAAAAAGTTCAACATACATACATGGTGATCGCCCGTACGAGCACCCTGCCGGCTCCAACCCGCTGTGCTCCTGGAGGCCTGACGAGATTGGGTGCATTCTGGGCAATTTGGCCAGAATAATGCTTCCTCTGCTACCCTCATTAAACCACAAAACCAACGGGAATTTCCGTTTCCTGAATCACACAACGGCTGTTTGTTTGGTTTTTCGAATAACCGCTTTTTTTGCTGGCACATCAGTCGGCTTCCTATGGGAGAACAAATGCCCTGGAGACCAGTTACTGGAACCAATGCCGGTACGGAGGAAGACAAAGCAAAGCAAACAAGGGCCGAGTGCTCGGACTCGGCAGCAGGGCTTCGCGATACTGAACAACACTTATCAAAGGTTCTGAAGACGACGGCTTGTTGTTGCGATCGAAACATCGTGATCTATTTTAATTTCTTAATTTTCTATCTACGTGACTTTACCGAAAGAACCAAAGAGTATGAATTCCTGCAGTCACGAAAGCCTCAAATCAAGACTTATCAAAGGCTTGCGTAACGATTCAAGAGCGGCGGCGCCGCCGTCAGAAATCGGCGAACGTAACTCTGCGCGGCGGGGAAAAAAGCCTCATTGGTGCAGCAGCGGTAGTAGCAGCAGCGGCAGCAGCAGCGGCAGCAGCAGCGGCAGCAGCAGCAGCGGCAGCAGCAGCGGCAGCAGCAGCAGCAGCAGCGGCGGCAGCAGCAGCAGCTCCTGCAGCATCGGGGACTTCCGAGTGGCAGCAGAAATGTTATACCGATCACTCTTTTAACTAGAGCATATCACACCGACTACGCTGACATTTCACCGGGTAAAAGCCAAAGGCGTTTCATCATTGTCATGCCCAAAGGGACGTTTGGCACTGTCGTTGATTGTGCGATGATGATGATGACGACGACGTTTTACAAAAAGCGATTCAGCTCGAGGTAAATTCTCAAACAGACTTTGACACTCGTCAGGACCCCCAACGGTGTGGCGGGCTCTCCGTGAACGATAAGATGACAAGGCGTTTGGCAATCGCCCGCGCACGCAGGCTGCCTGTCACGTGACCTGGCACGTCACGTGGCAGCCATGTCACGTGTAATGCTCCCCGCAAGGGAAATGCGCTTCAAAAGAATGGCCGAGCAGTGCACGTCCTCACGGCTGCGTGCGCCGAGCTGTCCGACGCACATTCTACGCTTCACTCATTAAATCAACAACAACAACAAATTCGGTGACATCAACCAGCGTTGTAGCACTCCAGTAGCATCGTCACGTCGAGCACGTGCGGCCCCCTTTCGTCAATCCGCTGCTGGACGAGGGCCTTCAACACGCCGTGCGTGTCGCGGAGGTTGTTTGACCATACTTAACCACGCGAGTCAGCGCGTGCTGGTTGACGCGGCCGCGCAGTTTCCTGTTCGCCGCCCGTCGCAGGGGTTCGTGGTTCGAACCCAGCGGCCGCCCTTGTTATTACTGCGGTGGTTGCCCCGGGCAGACGCATCGACAGATCACGCCAGAGCCCTGTGCGCGATCGTCGATGGCCCACCGCGGGACTGGAGGCGTCCCCGGGGCAGACCACGGCCTGACGTGGACACGCGCGATTGAGGCCGATCTTCGACACCACGGCTTGGCTTGCATTCAGTGTGACGGCGAGCGCAGGATAGCATTGCCTGGTGGCGGCTTGTGGGGACTGCCACGCCCCGAGAGCCACGCACGACGACGACGGCGGTGACAACCGTACTACACGGCGGCCGGTAAAGATCGCCCCACGCCATTCCCAGGAATCGGGCCTACTCTTGCAAATGAGTTCACCACCAAGGTTAAACAAAGTCAACTTGAAAGCGGGGAGCATAAATGTTGCGGCATAGTAGAGTACAACAATAGATTGTTGCGCACAGCCCCCTGTTGTTAATGTAGCCAGTTTCAAGGAGATTTGTTTAAACCAGATGAAGACCCAAGAGACGATCTTTAGGTCACCAATGATAATCGAAATGTGTGGTAGAGGCACTCATCCAGCAGTGGATTTACAAAACAGCTGTGTTTTTACGAGTGCACATGCACCACCTACAAGATGAAGAGACATTTGGCTTTTCGGTCATGTCTTGCCTTAACAGAAACTCACTCGCTCTCTCGTTCTCTCGCTCTCTCGTTTTCTCGCTCTCTCGCTCTCTCACTCGCTCTCTGCAGCCCTCGGCAGTTCTCCCCGCACGTCGGCAGCTTCAGCCGCATGCCGAGATTGTTCCCCTGCGCACGCAGCGACGTGAAGAAACAGTCCAACAGCGACACTCGCACCTCCGTAGAGTAAACACGAAGCAAGCGACGATGGGCGTGTCACACCGTGCGGGGAGCGGTAGTGCAGCGTTCAGCGCGCTACGCTACGAACCCGACGACTCGAGTTCGATTCCCGCTCACGGCCAACAACAGTGACGATTAAATGCACCGGCCCTGGGCCTCCCCGTCACTGGGGAGACAAAGGAGGCCGGGTATGGCGCTGGCCACCCACCCCCTCGCGTGCCGTGCCGGCCTTCATAGGTGCTACTCGCTAACAGCGCTTGCCACTCCACTCCGTTAAGGCTATACGGGCGATTTGTGTCTTTGTCAAAGAGGTGGTAAAGGTGCAGCCCTGCAATCACTCGCTCACTCCGCCGCTGGCGAGCTCACTGAGAGCCCCTCTACGTTTTCCATGCTGGCTTGATGTCTTGGAAGATGTGAGAGCAGCCACACTTCTCCCCACACGCCGATTGACGAACAGTGGTGAACCCACTCGTACCGCTCAAATGCCTTGCCGGCCTTCTAAGGTGCTGGTTAACAGCACTTCCCCCAACACTCTGTTAAGGCTATATGGGGAAGCTTTGTCTTTTTGCCGGTCCACCAAACCATGGGGCTTGCTGCAGTGAGGCACTCCAGCAGCATTGGCTTGATCAAGCACACTCCGGGCTGGTTTTGACGAAGCCTCTTCAGCAGAGAGTGGCCTCTTAAACAATTTTAGGCATTGCTCTCAACCATTCTGTGCTCTTCTTACCAAGTGGTGACATTTCGGTCAAACGCACGTGGGGGAGCAGGGGTGTTCGTGTCCATTGGCGGTCCCGTACGGCAACGGTGCTAATTGGACATTTGCATGCGAGGTACCAGTCGCCCCGTAGGGTAACTATTACTGGCATGGTAATTTAAACCACGACTGGCTTGGTTTAAATGGTAATTTTCTCAAGTGTCAATACTGTCGTAACAGTGCACAAGACTGTGGTGATAATGTTGCTGTATTAATGCAGCGTCATGTTCATCTCGGTCCTCCTTGAATAACTGTCCCAGGTACCGAGCACACAATCTTCTTTGTTTTATAGCTACGTTCCTCCAACCGAAGTCTCCAATTGTTAAGCCGGCATGGTTGATGATGACGACGATGCTGATGGTGAAGTGTCAATGCTGCAGTTTCGATTTCGTGAGATTAATGATTTCCTGGAAGGGCAATAGAGATGGGTGACTGATGTGATCTTCTGAACGGGCTCGAGAGCTGACATTTGACGCAAGTACTTGATAGTCAAATCCATATACAGATGAGCAGACGTATCGAAATATAACACAATGTCATCGAGGTCAGTGCTCGAGTATACACATTGTAATCTTAATTAAGTGTCAATGCGGTAGAGCGAGCGGCTCGCAATCAGAAGGTTGTGAGTTCAAGTCCTGGTTAGGGGTTTGTGACTCGTTTGTGACTCGTGGAAAAGTCAACAGCAGTCGTCCTAATTGATCAAGAAGAGAAGAGAGAGACGGCGACTCCTGGGACGCTTCCTGCGGAACCCCGGGGGCTACTGGGAGGAGATGGAGGCTCCGGATACTCGCGGTGGCAAGGGGAGCGAGCCCTGGCTGGGGTGGCCCACAGGAGGCTGGGTGGCACAGAGGAGGCTGGGTGGCACAGAGGGGGCTGGGTGGCACAGAGGGGGCTGGGTGGCCCACAGGAGGCTGGGTGGCCCACAGGAGGCTGGGTGGCACAGAGGGGGCTGGGTGGCCCACAGGAGGCTGGGTGGCACAGAGGGGGCTGGGTGGCCCACAGGAGGCTGGGTGGCCCAGAGGGGGCTGGGTGGCCCAGAGGGGGCTGGGTGGCCCAGAGGGGGCTGGGTGGCCCAGAGGGGGCTGGGTGGCCCAGAGGAGGCTGGGTGGCACAGAGGGGGCTGGGTGGCCCAGAGGGGGCTGGGTGGCCCAGAGGGGGCTGGGTGGCCCAGAAGGGGCTGGGTGGCCCAGAGGGGGCTGGGTGGCACAGAGGGGGCTGGGTTGCCCAGAGGAGGTCTGGGGTGGCGACGCTTGGACAGCGCTCCGCGTGGGGGACAGCTCCTCGCGAGCGCTGTCCAAGACGGAGCCCTGTGGAGTTGGGATCGTTCCATCTCGCGGCCTGGTCGAGGGAGGGACGGCTAGCTATGCAAGTTGAACACACCACATTGTTTTCGCGACTATGGAAAGCTGTTATCCTGTGGAGAGACTCGCACCCTGCCAAAGGAATAAAAACGTGGAACTTTCTACCGCTGGCTCAGGCTATAAAACAGGAGATGAGCACCTCCTCGATGCCTATTTGTGCAGGGAATTACCTTGCCTGGAAATCCATGGCCAAAAGGTTTCAAAGACAATGCCATTTATTATCAGAGCATGTTTGTTGTTTGCATGTTCACCACTGGTACCGTGTGTGGTTAATGCAGACTTGATTCCTTGTAAAAAGGTTTCTATTTGGTGTTTGAACATCTTAAACACCTCCTGTTTTATTGCCAGAAAGGGTAAAAATCTTATTTTTCATACTTTGATACTGGCAAAAAAGGTACCAACATACATGTTATATAGCACTGCATTGGTTCGAACAACTTGTTATCGCGCACTCTGATGAGTCCGTCACAAATGTGCACGTATTGATGAAGTATGAATGCTTGCTGTGCCATTACTATTTCAGTGCAGTATCGTAGAGAATATTGTAGTTGCAATGCTGGTTACACTAACACAGCAGTCCACTATCAATCGAGTGGCAATACTGTTGGCATTATAGTCTTGCGTGTGCCAATATGTTCAGGAGTTCTATGCCAACCAATGCAGAGGTCTGCTGCTGGCCACGACGAGAGAGGGCTTCAGCAGGGAGAGTTCGTGTCGTTTTTCTGTCTCTTCCTCCCCCGTTGAAGCAGCGCAGACAACAGGGGCTTACTTTAAAGTCCAGTTTTTTTTGCATGTCCACAATCGCACCGTGACTTGTATTTTAATGTATTAATGTGGGGATTAATCGTCAATGCCCTCTCATAATTTTTTTGACGACGCACCAATATTGAATAATTAACATTTCAGCATTAATTATGCTGGTGTAGTACAATATTTATATTCCAGCACCGATGAAATGTCAGTGCCAATGTAACAGGTCAATGAACAGCCAATGCTGTTGAGCGTTAACGTTGTTGGCGTTCGTGAAGCTCCAATGTTGCGGTGTCAATTTCGGGGCATCAATGGCGCATATCGAGAGCGCATAGACCTTGCCAACCCATACGGGTTACCCGTATTCTTGTGCAGGGAAATTGAGTCTTCATGTCCATACGGCGTACAGCCGTTTCAATAGGGGCTTTGTGTGATGAACCTTGAGATTTATAGGGGACACGGGGTGACCACCAAGGTCTGAATTGTTCTGTAATAGGGGAGAGCACTGCCCGGTACCATCACCCACGCCGACTGCTCGCAAGCTCATCCACATCGCACGCAGCGCTACGAACCACAAACACTCGAGTCCCATTCTCAGCGGGGGCTGTCAGTGGGGGCTGTCAGTGGGGGGGCTGTCAGTGGGGGGGCTGTCACTGGGGACTGTCAGTGGGGGGGCTGTCAGTGGGGGGGCTGTCAGTGGGGGCTGTCAGTGGGGGCTGTCAATGGGGGGGCTGTCACTGGGGACTGTCAGTGGGGGGGCTGTCAGTGGGGGCTGTCAGTGGGGGGGCTGTCAGTGGGGGCTGTCAGTGGGGGCTGTCAGTGGGGGGGCTGTCAGTGGGGGCTGTCAGTGGGGGCTGTCAGTGGGGGCTGTCACTGGGGACTGTCAGTGGGGGGGCTGTCAGTGGGGGCTGTCAGTGGGGGGCTGTCAGTGGGGGCTGTCGGTGGGGGCTGTCAGTGGAGGGGCTGTCGGTGGGGGGGCTGTCGGTGGGGGGGCTGTCAGTGGAGGGGCTGTCAGTGGGGGGGCTGTCACTGGGGGCTGTCGGTGGGGGGGCTGCTGTCAGTGGGGGGGCTGTCAGTGGGGGGGCTGTCAGTGGGGGGGCTGTCACTGGGGGCTGTCGGTGGGGGGGCTGCTGTCAGTGGGGGCTGCTGTCAGTGGTGGGGCTGAGAGGACATCCGAACCGGTGCATCCATTCCCTCCTTACTACGCCTATCGCACTGACCAAGCGTGGTGAAGTATGGTCAAACAACAACACTAAGTGGCGGTGACGTTACCGCGGCGCTTGTGCCAGGCTAGGTGCACGTCGAGGCTGTCACGTGGAGCGGTGGAAGGCTCGCTGCTGGCAGGAGGACCCGGGCTGTCACGAGTTGACCGACTGCGCCACCGGTCAAACAAACCCGCACACGAAACCCCCCGGGGGTCGTCTTTGCGCACTCATCCAGCAGTGGAGAGAGCGCAAGCGATGTGCGGGGGGAGGGGAGGGGGGTGCAGCACCACTCGCTCTCTCGCTCGGAGCGCGACCCTCACTCGCCGCGACCCTCACTCGCCGCGACCCTAACTCACCGCGACCCTCACTCACCGTGACTCCGTAGCGCAGCGCCAGCCCCGCCAGGGTGTCCCCTCGCACCACGGCGTGAGGCCGCGCGCCGGCCCCGTCCGCCCTCTCCGCGCCGCGCGGCCGCCCCATGTCGCGCATGGAGATGGCGGGCGACGACGGCGGCGACAATGACGACGACGACGAGGTGGAGGACGAGTGCTTTTGACGTCGCCGGCCGCTCGCCATTGTACCACCAACCTCCGCCCCCCTCTCCCGCCGAAGGGGAGACCGGCGGGGGGCGCCCGCCAGGAAAGTCCGCAGGCTGCGAGCGCGGCCCAGCGCCGCCCGCGCGATCCGCTCAAGCGCACGGCTCGCGCGCGATTGGTCAGCTGCGCGTCACGTGCGGATGAGAGGGGCGAGAAAAGGGGGAGGGGCCAAGACGTTGAGGGGCGGGGATAGCTGCCGGGGCGGCCAATCAGAGTCGAGACGGGGCCACGGTTTGCGGGCTTAACGATTAATAATTAAATTTTGATTTAAAGCTTTCGTGACTGCAGGGATTCATCTTCTTGGTTCTTTCGGTAAAGTCACGTAGAAGGGAAATAATAAAATAATATAAAGATAAAACAATAACAAATTATTATACATTTGAAGCTTTAGTGACTGCAAGGATTCATACTCTTTGGTTTTTTCGGTAAAGTCACGTTGGTAAATTTTTTTTTAAATCACGACGTTTCGGGCGCAACACAATTGGAGACGTTTCGAGCAATGGCCCTTCTGCAGGGCACGTGGAGAGGCCAGCAGAGAGATAAGAGCGCATACCCCGTTAGACGTATTCTTGTACAGGGAAATTGAGTTTTCAGGTCAATACGTCGTACAGCCGTTTCAATACGGGCAAAAGCAGAGTATTATCACCGGATAAATTGATGTGCATTGACATACATAACAGACAAGAGAATTGCGGTTAAACAAATACGCTCGAGACTTAAACAAATTTTCTGGTGGCGATGCTGCTGCTGCTGCGTTGGCAGCGGTGCGTAGCACGGCCTAAGAACGCGACACGCACGTCCAGCACGCTGCTGGTGGGCCCTTGACAAGTGAATACATCTAACAGGCAACGTTTCAGGCAATGGCCCTTGATCTAACTCGCACGTAAATCAGAAGCAAGCGGAGTAGTCCCGCTACTTAGTCGGTATTATACAGAGGGACAGATGTGGAACGGAGGCACATTTCCCGCTTATTTGTTATTTAGATCTGCTTTGTTTACTAATGTTGTGTTTAGTTTTGTTAATTTTGTGATTAGTTTGTTGTCCTTCCCGCCGCACCTCCGATTATCACGGTTGGCTACTACGGTGCGAAAGAAGTCAAACATGAGTTTGGGTCTCTATGGGTCTCTGTGAGTCTCTGCATCTCTATGGGTCTCCGTGGGTCTCTATGAGTCTCTGTATCTCTGCGAGTCTCTGTGGTTCTATATGTCTCTGTATCTCTATGTGTCTCTGTGGTTACAGGAGTGTAACTGTGCGTTTGGAGCCTCTCTCCAGCACCAGAGTAAGCGCGGCGTGTCAGCCAGCCCAAGGGGGGCATCGTCCTGGTGATGGCCTCAGAGAGGGCAAGGGAGGTCGTGGCAGCCCGAGTGGGGCACGTGATGCTCGGTCGGGATCCTTCGGGAAAGGTCGAAGGCGGAGCGAGGCCACGCTCAGGAGCATCAAGGGGCAGCCCCGAAAGTGTTCTTGGCTCATCTTCTTGGTTCTTTCGGTAAAGTCACGTAGAAGGGAAATAATAAAATAATAAAAATAAAACAGAATAAAATAATTCTCATGACGTTTCGGCTACAACGCAAGCAGCCGTCCTCAGTTGAAGAATGAAACACCACCAAGCTTGGAGCGTATATTTAAGCTGGGTTGGAGGGGGGAAGAAGAGCGCCTTGACAAAATAATTTGCATATGAAGAGGAATTTAGCATATTTATGGGAAATGCGTAGGAGGTGGGCGGGGGGGTTTCAAAGTCATATTATGCCCGTGCATTATGCAGGATCAGCAGCATCAAAGGGAGGGGGTAGGGGGTCGCATTAACAAAGGGAAGGGATGTTAATAGTATGTAGCTGCAGTAACTAAAACCACCACGTAAAAAACTAAAGTATAAACTACATAGTATCATCAGTATACTAAATATACTCTCCAATAAGCTGAGCTACTAACAGTAAGTCATACATTACAATTCTATGTCGCAAAAAATATAATATGCTTCCAGCTAAACTTTTTTCCTTTACATCACACGGGTCTACCCCGTACTATATACTACCATAGACAAACCCAACATTAAATTATATACTGTATTACTATACACAATCTATACCTTCGACTATATTACCCTAAGTATTATTCTACCTACCCTACTGTATACCACACTGCTGTATATTCACTATACATCTTCTTGGTTCTTTCGGTAAAGTCACGTAGAAGGGAAGTAATGTCTATGGTAGTATATAGTACGGGGTAGACCCGTGTGATGTAAAGGAAAAAAGTTTAGCTGGAAGCATATTATATTTTTTGCGACATAGAATTATTACTTCCCTTCTACGTGACTTTACCGAAAGAACCAAGAAGATGAATCCCTGCAGTCACGAAAGCTTTAAATCGAAATTCACTATACAATTACGATACTGTATATTACCTTATACATTGTATTAATCATTACATTGTTCTGGGCTCGTCTATGGAATCTCGCCTGGGTCCTGCGTCTCGTCGTCTCCGGGTCTCCGTCTCGAGTTAACTCGCTACTCACATCGTGAGCCACATCGCCTCCTATAGAACCCGAGTTACGTTCAGTGTTACCCGCTAGGGAAGATGTTAAATGCAAGTGCTGCCTCCCAGTCCAGAGTGTGTGCCTCCGTGTTGAACACTACACTTGTACAAGTTTGCGCCGTGACTAAAATCCATAGCTAACATTGATGGTCCTTGCCAATAAACATCTTGCAGTTCACCAGGGCTCGCTCAAGCGAGCCTCACTCTGCTGATGATCAGCAGTCAATGATGAGACACTGTCAACACTATTCCAGACGATTTGCTTGTTTTGAACCAACGCTGGCATGTATAAAACAATATAACTATTTTGTTTCATGTGGATGGGCAGATATGTGAAAGAGGTGTGTGTTGTTGTCTGCTTAAGTTATTTGTAGTGTGTGTGCTGTAATCAAACAAACGATGTTGTTCGTCACTGTACAGTTAGGGCTCATCTTGGAATAGTGGCGGTGTACCGTAACGATGCACCCAGGCCAAAGCTCTCTCCGCTTGCAACCCCACACTGACGGCCGTGGTGAATGGAGGTGACGGCTCAGATAACCCCCCAGCCCCCCCCGAGACCCGCCTGGGCGTGCGGAGGGGGTGGTGCCGGTCACCAGCCAGTGGAGCGGCAAGAGTCGAGCAAATCGACTCGCGCCACGCACGCCGCGGAACACACATCTACAGCAGATAACGCGACGGGATACGCAAATTAGATTTATTTGTATACTCAGGTGGGATTTACAGACAGGTGTGCGCTTGGATATATATATTCATAGATAGCAGCCCCATTGCCCCCCAAAACAAGACAATTACGCTCAAGGAGAAAGTATAACAATATGACATATTCCTTTCGTTCCGATTCAGCCCATTACAGACACAAATATGACCCGTGTTGCCTTAACAGACTCTTGGGGCAAGTGCTGTTAACGAGCACCTATGAAGGCCGGCGCGGCACACGAGGGTGGGTGGCCAGCCACGCACGGCCGCCTGTCTCCCTCGTGGCGATGTTTACACACCACACCAGGTACTCATTTGAGGCTGAGCTGACCTCGGGAAGGAGGAGGGGGTAGGACCGGTTCAGATAATCGTCGCTGGTGTTGGTCGTGAGCGGGAACCGGATTCTCGTGGACAGGTTCCTTGTGTAGCGCGCTAACCACCGTACGACCGCTCCCCAAATTGCACAAGAGACACTCCTCCAGAGGTACATTGTACACAGTGCACGATCGCGAGCAGCTGGGATCAGTGCAGCGGGCGCCTTCGATTGTGAGACGAGAGCACGTGACACAAACGTACGGCCTACTGCACTAGCAACTAGTATAGCCCGTGGCGGCGCACTACGAGAAGTCGAGGACGCAATTAATGGGTAAAGAGAACGTCATGGGCACGGGAAGCGAGCAGACCAAGAATGGGACCTGAGAGTGGAAAGGATGGGAAAGGAACTGAGAAACGAAAGAAACGTGTCAGGAGCGCAACGAAGATGTATTAAGAGGCTGCACGTGGGCCTCGACGCTCCTGCACCGGAGGAGCGGCGTCTGTTTTCAGAGGGGGCGGGGTAGAGGAGAGGAGTTCAGAGTGGGCGTGGCCACACACAAGCCACGTGGTTTACAGGAGTTGAGCTGATTCAGATGCCGTGGCTATAGTGTGCAGTACCCAATAAACCGCCAGCGTTAACGATAAAATAAAAATAATAGGGCTATGATTTTTTGCAGTCGTCGCGCTTTTGTGGAGTTGTGTTTTTTTTGGCGGTGGTTTTAAGCGGGGAATTTAAACGATCCATTTCAGCTGTAATTGTAATTTCAGTACACGATTTACACGTGACAAGGTACTGCGAGCTGACACTTGGTGGTGAAGGACGAACATAAGTGAAGCCTTATTCTTAAGTCGGGGCTTTCAAACAAAACCTCCGGGCTTGCAATCTAAATATCTTGTTAACGAGACTCTTTGGCTGGTTAGAAGGGTTTTATAAACATTGCTGCTTCGGTAAGCAGCAAGTACCTTGAACACAAATATATATTTCGGTAAACCCAAGAAAGCTAGTGCTGCTTCTTCTGGACGATTACTGGTCACGTGGTGATAATATAATCATACAACGGCTGACTCAGCCCATCGTCTATAGCGATGAGACTCTGCAGGATATAAACCGAGTACCAGGAGCTTTCACGTGGATAGAACTGTCCCTGCCATGGGAATGTGGAATTTCCATCACTGGTTCAAGGCCGCCAATAAAGATTAGAGGCCGCCGATGCTCGTTTGAGCGGGGAGATCCACAGAACGCAGCCCACCCCCTTTGGAGTTATTTATTTACATTTTGACCCCGCGGCTTTCTGAGAGTGGCCCCCTTCTGCCAGAGCCATCACGCGGCCATCCCACGGCGACTTTACACAGCAGCAGGCGGCGCGCTCTGCTCGACAACCCCAAAGGTGAAGAGGGAACTTCCTCTCGGCCGAGATTCCGCGATGACGTTCGCGCTCGGCGCTCCGCACCCTGCCGCGGTCACGTGTCCGCATCAACCCAAAGTGTTCACGTCTCTCGCTCGGAGGTGGAGATCGCACGTCGCACGACGGGGGCCCCCTGGATCGAGACATTTCAAGGAAGATGACAAATCATCGGTTCTCGATTGACGGGGGCAAGCACTCTTTTGTTACGCGCAGACAATAAGTATCGAACCCTAATACAGTATTCGTGTTTTTTATCCATTTGATCACGCAAATATAAATTCGAAGTTAAACCCGCCACCACCCGACAGTCAATTCGCAAGGTTTGTCACGTAGTTACGAGTTCAGCACACCGCTTGTGTGTTGCACCGCGGGTTTACTCAAGTAGAAACGCATTGGCACACGTTGTGTTTACGTGACAAACCTTACGAACTGGCTGTGTCCGGTGGTGGCGAGTTGAACGACACGTTTTTATTTACGCGATCTAACCCCCCAAAAAACTCGACTATGGATAATATTTGTCGCGAAAGCCTGCGACTGCGTGTCCATTGTTTTTTTGTATCAATGAGGAAAAGTGCTGGGACAGTGGTTAGCCCTCTGAACTTGTGACCCAAGCGTTGATGTTCAGCTGCGGCGAACATGAGTGGCGAGCCATATCTGAACCGGAACCCACCCACCCGCCTTCCCCCAACCCTGCAGTGAGTAAGCAGCGTGGTGAAGTATGGTCAAACAATCCCGATGACCGGCGCGGCCCCGCGGAGACCTTCATCTGGCAGTGGCGTTGACAAAAGGATGTTACATTTCATTTTAAAAAGTAAAACATTTCCCCACCCGAGAAAGGTGCCATCTCTCAACTGCAGTCAGCCGATGCCTTTTTCTCTCTCTCTCTATGCTCTGAAGTAGGTCCATTGCCTCAAACGTCAGCCTGCTCGATATATCTTCTTCATTATACGACAGTGTTAATGACAAATTGTGGCGTATGCCCCACAAATGCAAAGGCAGTCCTTACCATTTATTGTCCGCTATTTTTTACTTGAGACAGCTGGACAGAGCGCAGTGGCGTATAACCACCCCGAGCACCTGGACTACAAGCCTTGCACTTAACTTAACACAGCCTAATATCCTAGTACGATGCCATACAGGGTCTCATTATTATTATTATTATACACCATATAACACTAATACGGCACACGGTGTTGGTGTGTGTGGTGGGGGGGGGTGTGAGAACGGTTGAGATGAATTTTCACAAAAGCATCACTGGAATGTCAAATATAGTCCGGCAAATCCGACCTTGAATTCACCGATGAACCAACAACGTACGTTACAAAAATGGGCTCGTAATAACAATACCAATCACTTGTTTATCCCGGGAGGGATATTTGAGGTGCTTTCAGCCAATCCACGAGCGATGATGCGTGCGGGAGGGATACCGCAGCACCCAAAAGAAACGCACGCGTGCGAGGGGGCAACGCTCTATCCCGTCGAGATGAGTCTACATTCTGCTGGGCCGCCTTCTCCTGGCGAGCCAGGGGTAAGGCACTTTCCTCGATGCACGCGGGGGAGCGAGTCTCACAACATCCGCTTGCGACCCACCAAGCCCCTCGCTGCTGCTGCCCCACAGTGCCGGATTTCCAGGCCGCCACGTGCATCGCAGCCACCACCCAACTCGTGAATCGGGGCTTCCGCGTGGGGAGCTTCGCAACCAGCCTCGCGGTTCCCTGGCGCAACGTGCATCGCAGACATCGATCCCAGTCGTTTTTTTTTTAAATCGCCAATCCCCTGAGATGCATTAATTCTAATTCAATGTCACTTACTCTGCCCGACTGGACCCCAAAAGATTGGGAGATGTATTATTATTATTATTTTTCACTGTCACCGAGTCGCCAACTGGCCATCGTCAATATGAACGTCTCCTGGGCTTGGCTACTGCAGGAACCTCACACGAGGCTTGTGAACAATGCAATAGAATGGGAACCGCCAGGAGGGATCCCTAGGAAGGGGGCTGACTTGGGGGGGGGGGGGGCTTTGCTAGGAGGGACCCTAGGGGGGTATGCGGCGGAGGCTGTGTGTGTGTGCTCCCACACTTGGCGACTGACCCTCAAGCTGACCGCGCGTTCATCGTGCACTGGAATGTGAGTCACGCGGGAGGAGCTCCGCCGTGATCCCCACGACCGCTCGCGACCACGGCAATGTCCGAATCCTCGGCTCCCCCTCCACTCAATCTCTTCCTTTCCTCTCGGAGACGGTGAACCGAGCCCGGCTGTAACGGGGTTTTAATGACCACGTAATTACACCCCCTCCCCTCCCACATCAAGACGCGGCCCTGCAGCAACATCGCTCAAATTTCCACACTGCACTAAAATGAACGAAACGTCAACAAGGGCAGATTAAAATAGCTTAACGTTACACCCCCCCCCCCCCGGTGCAGTGTGAGAGGCACGGCCACGCGGCGAGAGATGCGATCCGTCCCGACTGCAGCGGCGGTTCAACAACCCCGGCACGTCACCACCCAGCTGTTGTCACGTCACCACCCAGCTGTTGTCACGTCACCACCCAGCTGTTGTTACGTCACCACCCAGCTGTTGTTACGTCACCATGTCTGCTGTCAGTCATGTGCATAGCAGCAGCAGCAGGGTGTGAGTTTCCACACGGACTGTAAAATAATCTTTTTTTCCAAACGATGCAGGAACACAAATGATAACACATTTTTTTTAAAATCAACAAATCATTGGGGGGGGGGGGCATCGATGGCGACGTTGGCGCCGGGCGCTCTCCCGGGGCCGCTTCCCCGGAGCGTCCCCGGAGCGAGCGCCGGGCGCGTGGCGAGATTTGGCGTCAGCCCCCCCCCCCCACCACGACCGCGGGGGGGGGGGGTCCGCGTGAACTGCGCTACCGTGGTCAGCACGGAGCACAGGGGGCGGGAGTTGAAATCATTTTTGCTATAAAATGTTATTATTTCTGTATTAAATTAAATGAGTCATAATCAAGAACGAGAGAGAGATCGCAAGGCCCCAGGCAAGCAGGGCACGTGGTCGACTCGGGAGCGCAAAGGATCCCCGGGCTCGCCGGTCACATCCGTCTCTCGTGGGCCCTCTTGTTTTGAGAGTTTTTTTTTCAACAAATTCCAACCCACTCGGGTCCGCGGATGTCGTCGGTCTCCCACGCGCCCTGCCCGTCGAGGCGTGGGGATCTCTCCCCGAGTGCGGCACGCTCCAAGAGCTGCAGCGGGACGGGACTGGCTCGGTTTGGATGCAAAATCTGGTGGGCGAATGGTTTTGTTGTGCTTGGCCAAGCCCTCGTCAGCCAGAGCCACCCGTCACCTACGACGGTGAGTATCCCAGGAGAAGTAAACAAACCAAACGAAACACAATCAAGTGAGCAGGCTGCTTGGCAACGTGCGGTAGAATGTAACGAAAATAAAAAATCACGGAAACCCCCCTTCTCCCTCCTCCTCATCATGGCCAGCTCAACTCCGGCGTGAAATCCAATCGTGCCAAGCGGCCGCACATTCGCTGAGAGGGCCGCGCGCATTGCTGTTTGTGCGCCTGGCGGGTGTAGCGAGGGGGACATGCCGGGCCACGCGGAGTGGCAGCACGCACAACGGCAGCGTTCATCACCTCGCAAACCTGCGAGTTGCACACACGCAGAGTGAACGGGTCACTTGGCCGTGGTCAGCCATGCAGGTCAGTGTCCGGGAGGAGCGCCTTTGTCGACACGGAGCCTGCTCCTGTGAGAACAGGAGTCCACTACTATCGCGTGCCGTCCTCTATACATCAGTTGTACACGCTGCAAACAAAGGTCGCGGTTTCACAATGGTTATAGGTAGCATCCTGCCATTATAACACGATTACAATATAAAGAACAGACCTTTTATGGCAAATGCAATTAAAGTAATGCTTGTTTAAATTATGGCATTTGTTTTATATTTGAGCGGAACGCTGAGATTGCACCACGCGGGCGGGCGGATTGCGTCACCCACCCAGAATGAGTAAACTGGCCTCTAGAACCCGAAGCTCACAAGCAACGGAATACAGCATCCACGTTCCGCATTGCCACTCCGCGGCTCTCGGCCGTCATAATAATAACAACACAACACTTGACGGAACAAAAAAACTCAACGACAATTAAGACATCAAAAGTGAAGGAATGGCAGGCGATTCACTGCGCGGCTGACAAGACCGGCCGAGGGAACGGCCCCCCGGGGCCGCGTCTGGAGCGACGCGCGCGTGGGCGCGGCGTTTCCAGATCGCGATCAAGGAAATAAAAGCGACGCTCGGCAAGCGGCGGACAAGGCGCCGGCTCCGCGTGTAAACGTCGGCGCGTTCCTCACACCCGGGGTAGCGCACGTGGCACGAGTTCGGTACACCAGCCGCCCTGCGGACGAGAACCGAGAGGAGTGCCTTCCTCGTCGAGGCGTTTGTGACAATCGGGGTTGTTTCTGTGCAAGGTCGTGGTCGAAAACGCCGACGCTTCGGACTAAAAGAGATACCCCCTTCGCCTCCGGCCGAACGACTCGAGAATCATGCGATGATTTTTATTGGGGCATGTTAAAAAATACATTTTGCGAGGCTAAAAACTAAATAAATAACTGGATTTGCGAACGCGCGCGGAAACCGATGGCCTTCGCCCTGTTCAGGCGTTGTGCAAAAATTGGCAAAAAAACCCCATGTGTCACGTTTCATTAATTCAACACTCGGGTAAGTCGTGTTTTGTTCAAACCAAACGGGTCGCTTGCATTACTCATCAGCAGCGCCAGGCAGAAATAAAAACGACTAATCGTCTTGCCAAAGCGGCGCGGTAGACCTATCCGGTGTTCTCAGCGGGTTCAGGTTTTTTGGCAAAAATGTATCGGTCTCCAACACGGCCATTGCACAGAGCCCTTCCAGTCCCAGCGCCGCGCATTGCGCGTGCGCCAAGTTGACAACGGGCGACGCGCGAATCCGCGGCTTGGTCCGTTCGTCCATGCGGGAGTCGGGCGCGCCGCAGAGGCGTCGCCGCCCGCAGCCCGGCCGGGCTCCTCCCGCACACGAACGGAGCCGGTCAAAGCAGCACATTCAAGCACCAAGGCAAGAAAATACGATTCGTCTACAAACTACTCCGAGCAGCCGGTGGGCACAAACAGACCCCGAGGGAAGATTTCCCGTACTCGATAATGCCTTGGGAGGAGCAGCGGCGGCGGCCAGCGGTTTAGCGCGCCGCACCCGTCGTTCTCAGCCGTGGCCGGCAGCGGTGCCGAGTGACATCCGGAACCGCTCAAGGGCCCCACGCCCTTCACCGACCCGCATCAACCAGCGTGGCGACGGTCACGGCCCCCCGTTACCCACATGGTGCGGGGGGAGATGCCGTCATCCAGCACAGCTGCCAAAAAATTACCGATATAATGCCTTAGGAGGAAAGTCGGGAAAGGCTCGTTCAAGTTCCATGATGCGACCTCGGGCTCTGCGGCCTAGCCTGTCCCGCCACGATCATGCGTTCAGATTCAAAAGTCATCTCCCACCAACGCAGACAAGAACACCCGAGTGACGCAGAAGCGATGGCGAGAACCGATGCCCTATCAGCCAAACACAACAACGGCACAAAATGTTACGAGCCAGCGGCCAATAGCGATCGAGCGTTTGAGGTCACGGCATCGCTTTAAAGCGATATTTAACCTCACGACATGTTGCTGTAAAGGGCAGACCGGTCTTCGACTAAACGCCGTCGTTGTTCGTTCGTCGCGCGTGTTCCGTCACCCTCGCGCAGTACCAAAGGAACACGATGGCCAGCGCCAGCTGCGCGCACGCAAATATGGGAGTGTTGCAACAATCCGGTCTGATCAGCAATTCTCCTTCGTGACCTCCGCAGCTTAATAACAAAATAGGAAAAACGTTAAAAGCAATAATAATTACAATCATGATCCAAAGTGACACCACCCTTACCCCCGAACAAGGCATCAGGCTGAGAGAGACTGCACCCGATCACGTGCACTGTACGAGCATTTCGCGCTCGCGAACCCGCAGCGCCTACACACGACCATTGGCGAAGACGAGGTCACAACGGGCACTGCGCATCGTCCTTCCCCCGCACCTCCAGTTAACACGGTCGGCTGGCCACGTACGGCGGTGCGAAAACAAGTTCACGTACGTAGGTACGCGCGTTGCATGCAGCTCTCTCGACAGCGACGAGCGGTGCGCGCCCAACCTGAATCACGGCGATCATGCCCTGTACCCGTCAAACGCTTTGCACAGAAACGCAACGAAATTTACAAACGCCCCCCTCCCTCCCTTCTGCAAAACAAAAAACAAATCACATTTCCGCCCGGATTACCCGCGACCGCAGCACGGCACCGCCTTTGCCCACAAAAACGGGCGAAAAGAATGTCCGGGAGCATGGCCACTCGATGCAAACCAACAACGGCGATGCTCCGACCCATCCCCTCCCGTCGGTTCAAGTTTACGCCTTCAAAGTGGAATCATTTACAAACAGCCAGAGCAATATACACATATTTATATTTTATTTTACATCTCTGTAAATGTCTCCTCATATATATTTTGTTTATCCCAGCTTGCGACCGTCACAACAAGAAAATAATACCCTAACGAGGCCTTTGAGGTGAGGGGTGTGCTTACACGTAGGTGTGTTCAAGCTCAAGCTATAGGTTGTACGAGATGTCCCCCCGAAGCTCGTCTCACACACACGTTTGCGGTTTTCACACACGATTGCCGTACTTGCGTTTGTTCGTCAAACGCCCTTAAAACCCTCGTTTCGTCGTCTCGTACACGCCATATTTATATTTTACAAGCGATAAAACATCACGAGGAGGCTGGTAAAGTGACGGGGGCGCGAACCCTGCTCATTGACTCTCTCGGGCTCTCCCGCGCGGAACCCATCAATATCCCCCTCGAGGAGGGATAAAGCATCCGTCACTGGCGGCGGCGGAAAGTCCGCTTGCACAAAAAACCAACAACAAAAACTACTTCGAAACAGAGGAAAAATAAACCGCGTAGCTGCGTTTGGGGAATTTTTTTGTTATTGTTCCCGCTGTTCTCCAGTTATTATATCCAACCTATGAACGGTGCGCGCACAGTCAAGACGGGAAGACGCCTTACACGCAGCGCATGCCGTGCTTTTACCGGGGCCGCAGCCGGGCGCACGCGTAGGCGCTGCGGTTAACCGACGCTCGGTAGGACGCTTCGGGGCACAAGAAGGGTGCCTGCCCTCCCCGCCAACCACGCTTCAGATCGGCCGGCACCCGGCGGTAACGCCGAACCAGTGTCGGCCGAGCCCGTCCCCTGTAGTGCAGGGGGCCCCGACCCTGCACAGTGCCCCTTCGTGCTTTACTCCGGCACGAGTGGCCACGTTGTGCGTGTGATGCGTGGGTGGGATGGGGTTAGTTGGGCAGGCGGGCGGGCGGGTGGGCGGGCTGGCAGGCGAGAGTGGCGGTGGTCACCAGCCGCCCGAGTGCTGCAGCAGCACGCGCGTCTTGATGGTGCCGTCGGCGCCACAGGAGAAGACGTGGCGGCCCGGCCCCGTCTCGATTTGCATCACGCCGGCGCCCAGGTGCCGGAAGATGGACTGGCGGGCGTGCTCGTTGGCGTAGGTGCTGATCAGTGTGGGCGCCGGCAGGGACCACACCTGGCACCGTGGGCGGAGATTTACAGAGTTTAGTGAAATTGGCTGCGATAAATTTCCACGTGATAAGCCCACTTCGTTGAGCTGTCATTTGCGAAAGCCAGGTCGTTTCTGAAAAAGAGCGATATAGCTCAGTGGGCCTTACCTGGCAAAAAATATAAATAGTTAATAGTTTAGTTTATAGTTTATCCATGAGCACTATAAAAAAACAAAGCGCCCTCCCATTTGTCGTCATAGACTGCAGGGTGTGGGGTTAGGAGTCAGCATGAAGGTCAGGATTAGAGGTTGGCGTAAAGGTTATGGTTTGGGTTAGGGGTCAGCATGAAGGTCAGGGTTGGGTTGGGGGTCGGCGTGAAGGTCAATGCTCGCCTTGGCCACGGGACTTCGGCCGACGGGCCCCTCACCTTGATGTTGCCCTCGGCGGAGCCGGTGAGGAAGAAGCCCTCGCCGGGGTGCACCGCGATGGCCTTCACGGCCGACTCGTGGGCCTGCACCGTGTGGCGGGCCACGCGCTGCCGCAGGTCCAGCAGCGTCACGTGGCCCTTGCGGCCGCCCACGATGAGCGTCTGGCTGCGGGGCGCGTAGCCCAGCACCGTGGCGCCCGCCTCCAGGCACTGGAAGCCTGCGCCGGCGGCGAGGGAAGTAACATCAGCGACCACCGACCCCCCCCACCCCCCATACCCCCCCCCACACACTGCGCCGATCACTACGTCGCCGCTCCGATACCCGGCCAGTATCTGGCCGGGCCCTCCTGTTGTTATTATTATTCAGGTTAACGTCAACATTTCCAGTGAGTGCAAGGTGGCCCTCATCTCATGCTTATAAGCCCTGAGCTAGTGGTGGAAATTCCTCGTTCCCATGGCGAGGACGAGTCTATTTACTGCTGCCAACTGTGCAATTACTTCACAAGTGGAAGATCAGAGATCAATGTGACCGGGGGGAGACTGAGCAACGCTTCGCAGGAGACCTCTTTACGAAATCACCGGCCGAAGCCTTCATCCAGAAAACACATGCAACGTTGGCATGTGGGTAGAACCGTTGGGTCAAAGTTGCCTCAACGTTACCCCAAAGTTCCACGTTTACTGGGTACGTGGCTCACATCACCTCGATGTAGCTCTTCACGCAGACTCTCGCGGCAGGGCAGCAGGAGAGACCGTGCGAGTGAGCGGGCACACACACACACACGCGCCGCTGCCGCTAGGTATCGCGGGTGTGACGAGGCATACCGTGCACCAGGCTGCTCCTGTGCGGCACCAGCGTGTCCCACAGGCGAACGTTCCTACGCAGGAAAAACGCACAACGCAGTTATATCCATTTGCTACCACGGTGACCGCGTAGAATCAACGTCACTACACAAGTCTGATTAACAAATTCACGGACTAATGACCGAACGAAAGGACAAACGATCCCGGTCGTAACGGTTAGCGATGGTCGCTCACCGGCCGTCGGACGACTGTCCGGCGGTTGCCACGACGCTGGAGGAGCCCAGAAAAGTGAAGTCAAAGGTGTCGCGGCTGTGGCATTTGAGGGTCTGTCGGTGACGCACACGCACAGGTCACCCGCACATCACTCGGAAAACCACGGGGGCAACACCGCCCCGCCGATAGGCAGGCTCTATGCCCGCTTGCAGGCCGGTGCTGCGTACAGCTTGTGCCGTCTGTGCAGAGATGGTTGCCACTGGGGGTGCCCCCCCTCCCCCGGGGCTATAGCCAGCCGCAGGGCATTGGAACGGTGTTGATATTTGACGCAAGGTGCTTATGAGTAGCCGCGGCATTGAAACAAGCGCCACTAAACGTGCAGATATTTATGAACACACAAAGACAAAGATCTCGTGTAGCCTTAACAAACTGTAAGAGCAAGTGCTGTTAGCGAGCACCTATGAAGGCCGGCAAGGCACATGAGGAGGAGGGTGACTAGCACCACGCCCAGCCGCCTTTGTCTCCTTATTGGCGATGTTTACTACACACCGCACCGGATACTCATCTGAAGCCGAGCCAACCTCGGGGAGGCCCAGGACCTGTTCGTTTAATCGTCACTGCTTTGGCCGTGAGCGGGAATCGAACTCGGGTTACCAGGTTCGTAGCGCAACACGCTAACTGCTACACAACAACAGTACAACACCGTATTTGTTGTTGTTTTGGTTGTGGGGCACGCACCAGGTAGGGCTTGGGGTTCTTGTTGGTGAGGTCGAGCTGCCACAGACTGAGGAAGCCATCACCATCGGTCACCCCAAACTTCTGCTCACGCACGCTCGCACATACACACACGCACAAACGCGCACACACGCACGCACACACGCACGCACACACAAGCACGGGAGCATCGTTAGGCCGAGCGGCGGCTTGAGGCGAGAATTGGAGGGGACTGCGATCACGCAGCGAGTGTCATAGCGGGCGAGTTCGGAGATCAGCGGGAGGTGGAGGGAAGAGAAACGTCGAGGAATAGCGGAGGACCGTGGAGGGAGAGAGGGAGGCAGGAAAGCCACAGCCAGGGACGCGGTGGCAACGGGTCGGCCAGTAATGGTTCGATCAATTACAATACACTCCTCCAGCCCGCGATCCAGGCATCGAATCGCACGTGCGCGAACAAACCAAGTGAGATTTACCCGGTTGCTCTGGGCGCAGAAACGCAAGCGGGTGACGCGGGGCGCGGGCGCAGGCCTCATGACCTGAAGCTGCTCCGCGTGACCCCACTCGAACACGCGCACGCTGCCGTCCTGCCCGCCCGTCACATCTGCAAAGACACGCAGCCGGCCGTGGGGATCACACAGCACGTCGGGGCGAGCGTCGTCAGCGAGCGGCCCATTGAGGCCGGCGCGGCACACGGGAGCATTGTTACGACAAGCGGCGGCGAGGGGGGGGGGCAACAACAAACCAATCGATTACGTTCAACGAGTCGGTAGCGCAACAACAATACGAGTGCACATGTGGCAACTAATTTCAATCGCATCTCAAGACGCTTTGTAAAATTAAAGAACACTAAAACTACATTCAGGGTGAAGGGGGTTGGGTGAGGGGCACTCAAGGCAGGGGAAAGTGGGGAGAGGGCAATGCCGAGGCACAGCCTGGAACGACACGAGTGGGTTGCCCGGCACCATCAACAACGAGCGCCGGGGCCAACCGGGCAGCCAGGGCGGCAACGTGCGGGTGGCCGCTCGGTTAACCCGTGGGCACGCGGCTTTGCGCAGTGCAGTACAGTGCAGTGCGGTGCGTGCGTGGTGGCGCCCACTCACAGTACGGCAATATCGGGTGGCTCGCCATCCTCCGCACGTTGCTCAGGTTCCGCCGCAGGAGCTGTCGGAAAGGAGCAGAGGGGGGGGGGCAGCGACGACAACGACGACAGTGAGGAGGAGGCGGCGTCACGGCACCCACACATCACCAAGACGGCCCGAGCGTGCGTTATCCTTGCCCCGCACACCACAACTCACCGGCCGCAGACCCAAGGGGCGCATACGCAGTGGACTGCACGACCCTCGTCCCTCACCTCTAAGGTAGTGCAATGAGGTTTATCGAGGTGGGTGATGCCGTCGAGGACCAGAATGCAGCTCACACCGTACAGCGTTCCCTCGTCTGACCTCTAGAATTCACATCGTACCGTAGACGGCTGCCTTGCCTCTATTATCCACGTCGTAACATAGTGGTAGAATGTCTGGCTTGTCTAGAGTAGAACCGTACCATGGTGGGCCCTCTGCCCGTTTGTCCGCCGACTGAGCTGGTGGTGCCCGTGCTGCTCGGCGTGTAGGGGCTGCTCGTGTGGAAGCTGCCGATGCTGGGGCTGCGGAACGCGTCGTCCTTCGTGTAGACCACCAGGAAGTCTTCGTTACTGCGGGGTCAACGTGACAACAACGCTGATGTCAATGAGTTTATCCCGCGGAGGTGGCGCCGGGTGGGGCTCAGAGGTCACAGCGCCGACCCTGGGTTCAAAAGTGCAATTGTAGCCGCCCGTGATTAAACCAGGGTTCGAGTGCACCGAATTGATGACTTTAGGCCATAAATTAAAACACGGCATCAAATGAGGCCTACGCTTAATGTGGATCAGTCAGAAACTTTAGACTAGAGGAATCCAATGAACTATGAAGCACTTGTTCCGCAAGATTTAAGTGTTATTTCATCTCAATAAACTTTTTATGCAACAGATGCGCAAAAGCATGTGCATGTCCCTAGTGTGTCGATAAAAAAAGGTCACTTTAAGTGATCTCAGAAGCAGTTTGGCATTATCTCCTGCGGAACTCTTCGAGCAGTGGATTTACCGAGACTGATGATGAAATTTCACGACAAAGCTACGTGAACAGAGCCCAGCAGGTCTTACCGACGAGCCAGTGAAGCCGAGTGCCATTAACTTTACCACGGTCATAGCGCCAACTCATTTCGAGCGTTTTGGTCGAGGTTGCCACTGTTCGGGCAATGCTGACGGGCGGTGGACGGGCGTTCGCGGGTCAACACGACAGGCGGTAACGTCGCACGCGCCACTCGATTGGCCGTGGGGTGGCTGGGTCAAAGGTCACCTGCTGCCCTCCGACTCGGACTCCTCCTCCACCCAGGCCTGGCAGCTCGACGACAAGATGGACGACAGGTCCAGCTCCAGCACCTCGTGGGCCGAGGCTGCGGCCAGGCAAGACGGATTCGCCTGCCCGAGCACGATCAAACAACGTTAGCCACACGTTGACGCGTGGGCAATCCGCTGGGTCGCTTCGCAACAAACACCACTTGGGCGGGGAGCGTTAACCTACGTGCAATCGGCCAGATGAGTGCTGGCCACGGTGCCATTGGTTTGATAAAGATAATCCCAGATTGTTGGCTTCAACTTCACGTGGCCTCTTCAGCAAAGCGTTGTTTGCGTTTTAAGGCCCACATGGTAGAAACAAGGGCATGTAGCAGCGACGCATTGATTCGCATCTAATTCTGATTCTCATGATATGTTTCAGCATTGATCATCTATAATTTATGCAAATGATGCGCTAATGTTATATTTATTCTCACGGGAGTGCACATCGTGCAACGCCAAGTCATGAAAGAATGAAACGGCTTCTTGTTTTGAATTGAGGGTGGAGACTGCACGATTATTTACGTAAAAATTTTATTTGTACAACACGGTCAAGAGCTTGCGGCAGCTTGGGGAGGCCTTCATCCAGCAGTGGATTGACGTTGGCCAATGATGACGATAGTAGGATACTGAATAATTTACAGCTGACACGACCACACAAACACGGAACGTGATGTTGGGGGCCATATGTATTCCGAGAGACACGAAGGGTGGGGTCAGGCTCGGGGTACCCGGTTGATGGCGAAGGCGGTGATGATGTCAGTCTCCTTGTGCACGATCCGCGCTCGCGTGATGGGGGAGCCGGCGCTCAGCTCCGTCTGAAATCACGGAGACGACAACGGCGGCGGCGGCGGCGTGAGACTCGCCACGCAACTCCACGTACGACGAGCTCCGCCAACCCCAAAGGTGGAGAACTAAACCACGCGGCTCTCGTCATCGTTGTACTGCACTACGCCCACACGTCTGTGCTCCCCGCATTAACAAACCTGCGTTTGCGAGCGAGGCGAATTACAGTCGAACAACCCCCGCGACCCGCACGGGGTGGGGAGTGGCCCTCGTCCTACAGCAGTGGATTGGCACAAGGCTGTACACGTGCATTTACAAACCAGCCCAGTCGCAATACCGACTCACTCAAACCACTCCGCTGCACTCTCAATACCAGTCTCACGAAACCGCACGGCTCTCAGTGCCGGGTTTGGGAAACCGTACGAGCCCAACATCGAGATCACTGTGGCGTATTGGCAGTACTGCCATCGGACTACTCACCCTGTTGCTTCCGTGGTCTTCGGTCACGTAGTTGAGGTTCCCGGATGAGGAGGACTCCTCCTCCTGTGGAGGAGAGCGGTGTTCCGGGGAAGAACGAGTCAGGGAATTGCGTGTCACGCGAATTCACCCCGACTGCCGCCACCCTTAACTCCCCACCACGATGGCTCACGATGTCGTGGTGGTGAGTTAATCTACAACTTTGGTGGTTCCCTCTCTGCGGCGGCTATTATATTTGGAGAATAAGGCGTTAAGAATATCAACCCGGGCGTCTCAACGCAAAGAACAACTGCCCAAACACAACTCGCCAACCCTTGGCCTGTAACCCACGGTACAGGTGGTGTTGGGTATGACCTGATGCTGGTAGTGACCTGCTGTTGATTCAGACCTCCGGCTACTGCTGTTGCTGATGGTGTTGTTGGTGGTGGAGTTTTTGATGATGTTGATGGGCGTCAGTGGTGGTGTTGACGTTAGTGTTTGTGTTGGTGCTGTCGATGTCCGTGCTGTTGCTGGTGGATTTCTTGCTGTGGGAGGTAGCAGGGAGGTAGTGCAGTGGTTGTGCACAGCTGCTGCTGGTGGCAGTGGTGGTGGTTTTGGTGGTGGTGGTATTATTGTACGGGTTAGTGGGGATGCAGTACAGCGGGAGTGCTGCTGCTGCTAGCGGTGATGCTGGTGCCGTTGTTGGTGTCGGACGTTGTGGGGAAGCGGTGCAATGGTTGTACAAACCTGCTGCTGCTGCTGGTGGCGGTGGTGCGCGCGAGTGAAGATGTGCCTGATGAAGGTCTCCTGCATTGACTCGTGCCGCACCAGGAACTGCCACAAGCGTTTGGCTGCCAGTGCCGAGCGGCGATGCGAACTGCGGGCACACAAAGACAAAGACCCCCCCTCCTTATAGCCTTCACAGACTGTTGGGGCAAGTGCTGTTAGCGAGCACCTATGAAGGCTGGCACGACATATGCGTGGATGGTGTGGCCAGCACAACACCTTGCCGCCTTTGTCTCCCCAGTGCTGACGTTCACACAATGCACAAGGTACATATTTGAGGCCGAGTCAACCTAGGGAAGCCCCAGGACCGATTCAGATAATCGTCAGAGTTATTGGTCGAGGGAATCCAACTCGGGTCAGCGGGTTCATAGCGCAGCACGGTAACCATTGCGCCGCCGCTCCCCACCCAAACTACACACACACCAAACTACACACACACATACACCCTACCATCACCACCACATGCAGAATAATCTCTCCCATGCCCTCGCCTGTGAGGACTCATGGCACTCGCAGCCCTCACGGCCCACCTGAAGGGCGTGTTGCCTGGCTCCAGCATGGCCTTGTAGCGCAGGATGGCCGGTCCGGCAGGCCCGTCGCCCGTGTGAGCCCCCAGCGTGGGGATGTAGTCGTCGGGAGGGCCCGGCGTGGCCTCGAGGCGCGCGCACAGCGCCTGCTCCCACTGGCTCAGCGTGCACAGCGCCATGTGGCACAACGGGGAGCACGACGGCAGGTCTGCGGGGTGGCGCGGGGAGGGGAGGGGGTCAGGGGTCGAGGGGCGCACCGATGAAAGAGTGGGGACGGTGGGTTTAATTGATAACCGTAAGTTGATAACGACTCGAGCTGGGATGATTGGTCAATAGTGATAAAAATAAAATCGGCAAAGATTAAAATTAATACTTTTTGCAATCGGTTGCTCAAACACCTTTAAAAATACGACAGGGCCGGTTCAGCTAATCGTCACCATTATTGGTCAAGGGAATCGAACTCGGGTCAGCGGGTTCATAGCGCAGCACGCCAACCGCTGTACTACCGCATCACCACCAACACTACAAGCACCCGCACCGCACAATCACCAGCACGGAGAGGCAGTGAGCCGCTCACCTGACATCTCGAGTCCGGCCATGGGGAAGAAGCCGCGCATGTTTGTGATGGCCAGCCGCACCACCACCAGCCTCATGAGACACCAGCTGCGGCACACGGCGGCAGCCAAGTCAAGGGAGACGATTTGCAAAAATCCGGCACGCGCACGGATTACGATACGCGTTCTGACACGCGTTTGTCTTCAGAAGCTTTGAACCAGCGGTACAAAACTTGACGGCTAACTTTGGTCGAGGGAATCCAACTCGGGTCGGCGGGTTTGCTCCGGTTTGTGTGTCCCAAGTTTTTGGGTCGTGGTTTTACCTGTGTGTCTGGTTTTACCCAGGGTGAGTCCCGAATAGCAACACAACTTTACGTGACAATTTCGTTCAGATTGGGTTATCACACAGGACCTTACCCCTGCTGGGGAAGGCCAGATGGACAGAACTAACGCACGAACGTATTCAACCTGAGTTGTAAAAAGTTAAAAGACAGACATGTGTGGTGCAAAACAAAAGAAAAACATCTCTCGTGTAGCCTTAACAGACTGTAAGAGCAAGTGCTGTTAGCGAGTAGCACCTGTGACGGCCGGCACGGCACATGAGAGGGTGGGTTCATTCTCCGACACACCGGTGTGCTGTACCAGTAACGAACTGCATGTTGTGTTTACGTGACAAACCTTACTAATTGGCTGTGTTAGGCGGTGGGCGGGTTTAAGGACACATTCATATATAGGCAATATAACCAAAAAAACCTTATTACGGTACTGGTTTCATTGACTCCAGAGGAATTATGGCCTCAGCCAACCCCCAACGAGAAATGTAAACGATTGAGACCATTTGACTCAACCCGTGAATCAATGATGGAAATTCCACATTCCAATGGCGCAGGTGGCGGTGGAGGGAGCGAGGGGGGGGTGCGAGTCTATCTATACGACACAACCCGCTGTTGACACCTCCCCACTGCGGGACTCCACGGTGATGCCCCCAACACGCCGACAATAACGTTGTTGACGTCGCACTCGCACGGGCGCCAGGGTTGTTATTCCACGTTTCTTCGCTCGTGGAAATGGCCCTCATGCCGCCGGTGCTGCCGGTACCTGTAGGAGTTGGGGTCCGAGTGCTCGCGCTCGCGGGAGCGGCGCCGCGACGCCCTCTCGTCGTCCTTGTCGAGGATCGGGTCGTAGTCGGCCTCCTCGTCTCCCTCGTCCTCCTCCTCTTCCTCCTCCTCGCTCTCCTCGCTCTCGTCAGAGTCGTAGCCCAAGCCGTCGTCGGACGCCACAAATGGCTGGGCGCCCACCGAGAGGCGAGGGACGGGAGACGGGTCATGTGACGCAGGCACGGCAACACCCTACCCCCCCTTGTAATTGTACACTCTTTAGCATCGTAGTAGGAATAATAACTACAACTTGTAACGTCGCCGCCGCTCTCGCAGAGAGAGGACGACTTAGAGGCAAAACCACAGACAAGAATAGAGCAGCCAGGCAGAGAGCCGCCTGGCACATGCCCGGGCACCTTCTGTTCATCATAACTGCTGTTAGCGAGCAGCTATGAAGGCCGGCACGGCACACGAGGGAGTTGGTGCCCAGCACCACAACTGGTTGCCTTGGTCTCCCCAGTGGTGATGTTTACACACTGCACCAGGTACCCATTCGAGGCTGTGACAACCGAGGGAAGGCCCAGGACCGTTTCAGATAATCGTCACCGGTGTTGGGCGTGAGCAGGGAATAGAACTCGGGTCGCCGGGTTCGTAGCGCGGCTCGCCAACCGCTACACCACCGCTCGCCACGGACACATGCTCTCGTGCGAACACACACACAGATTAATTCCTCCACAGCCTCACCTTGGCCATGTAGTAGTCCCAGATGCTGAGCTCGGGTGGCACAAACACCTCACGGAAGTTAGCGCACGGCGTGAGCGGCGACTGCGCCCACGAGCCGCCCAGTTCCACGCTGCCGCCGGCGCCGCCGCCGCCGCCACTGCTGCCGGACACTGTGCTTACGACCGCGCGCTGCGTGGGTGCGGCCGTGCTTGGCGGCGACGGCGACGTCACCAGGATGCGCATGTTGAGCCGGTGCCGGTGCTTGCTGGCCTCGTCTGCCCGGACCCGGCCACCTGCACGAGCAGTAGCCGTCACACATCGATCAGGACCGGCTGGCTACGTACGGTGCAAAAGAAGTTCAGCATACATACATTCACACGTGACCTTTGTGTAAAATCAATGATTATTACTAAGACTTCTGATAAGCCATCTTCTATGTCGAAAGAGGATAAATGTCCGCTCATGTAATCAGTCTCCAAAATCGTTTTCGCGTTCACGTGTTGTCTCTGTCCGTCTGGCCATCGGTAACGGTGGGGGTGGGGAGGTGGGCACAGTAACTCTTGTAAAGATGATGACCCAATTTGCATGAAACTTTAGAATGAAGTTGTGTTGCTATTAGGGACTCACCCTAGACAAAGGTGGCCACACCGATTGGACGAACTCACATCCGCATTTGTTCTACTGCCACCTGCTTCCTGGAGGAGCCACGTTGGGGCCTACACGTTTGGGCGCTTTGCAAATTTGTGCGATCCATCAACTCTTTCCCATACGTACGCCTTGCCTACATTACTTGGCACAGATCGCAAACAACCAACTACGCTCTCAATCCCACGGTACGGTGAATTGCGCCACGAGCGTAGGAACGAACCGATTTTACTCGAATAGCCGACACATTTTAGAAAAATCAGTTTGCTTGCTCTCCTCCCCCCACATCCACCCCACGACGCTGCCGGCTCCTTTTGCTCAAACGCCACCCACCAGAGGACGACGTCTCCGACTGCTGCTGCGCACGGTTGCGCGTGCTGCCCTGCTGCGTCTTCACCGCCTCCGCCGTTGAATTCCCTTTAGAGGACGACGACGACGGCGCCTGCTGCTGCGGCGGCGCCAGCGTCTGCGCCGGTGAGGGCGTGGCGCACTGGGGCACGCGGGCGGCGCCGCCGAACAGCGACGCCCACGAGCGTGCATCCAGCGGGCGCGCCGACAGGCGGTAGAGGCGGCCGGCGGCGTTGGTGGCGAGGGCGCGTGCCAGCATCCCGAGGAAGACGGCGAGCAGCGCCTCGCACAGCAGCATGCGCAGCGGCGGCTGCTCCTCGTCGCGGCACGCGTGCAGCTGGGACAGCAGCTGCGTCACGCCTGCCGACAGGAAGAGGAGGGGGAAGATGAGGAGGGGAGGAGGGCAGGAGAGGGGGTGGAGCAGTTGGAGGAGGGACACCACTTATTTTATTAACTAGGCGAAGCCCACTGAGCTACGAGCTATTTTTCAGAGGCGACCTGGCCACACGTGATCAAGCTGGCTGACATCATCATGCGTGGGAATTTATAGTAGCAGCCAAATAATCTGCACGTGTGTTTTTAAATGAAACGAATTTAGGACTTTTTCAAAAGTCTACAGTTCATTGAGGATTTGAGGTGATCCCACAGGAACAATAAATATATACTGATAATAATAATAACATATTTACTTAAAGAATAAACGATTAAAATGTTCAAATAAATTAATTAACCCGATGTGCCCTGACTTGTTGGACCACCCAGCATAAATGCACTTTGTGCCATGTGGCACTGCCACGTCACCCTCCACCCCCCCCCTCCGTGTGTGCGTGTGTGCGTGCGTGTGCGTGTGTGCGCGTGTGCGTGTGTGCGCGTGTGCGTGTGTGCGTGTGTGCGTGCGTGCGCCCGCGCCGCGAGGTACCCGGCCACTGGGAGGGCAAGGAGGTGGACTGCAGGTTGCTGGTGCTCTCATGGCGCTGGCGCAGGCGCTCGCGGAGCAGGCAGCTCTTGTAGGAGAGCCCCGTGAAGGGGCAGCTCGCAGCCTCGCTGCTAATCTCCGCGCACGCACACACGCACACACACGGACACACACACGCACACATGCGGACATGCGCACACACATGCGCGCACGCACCGGCATGCACATACACACACGCACACACACAAACACAGAGACGACGTCCGCCCATTGTGTGACCTCTTTCGACGAGACGCGCTGTGTTTTCGCAGCCAATGTCATGATTCATGATCGATTTTTTTTTTTTAGGCCGGGCCTTGTAACGATCTGATCTGTCAATATAACACGTAGTCGACTTTCTGACTTCCTGGATCTCGTCCCGACGACGCCTGACGTCGTCTCAATCAAAAAGTCGTTGAAGTTTTGGTCGCGGGGATTGTTCTTCACTGGTGAGTGGATGCACTGCTCCGCCCGCTGCACGAGTTGCAACGATGACCGACGCACTGAGGTTTAAATGAAGGGCAGCGCTTACCTGAAGCTGTGGCTGTCGCAGAGGGACTGGTAAACGCACGCGGAGAGCGACGCGGCCAGCACGTAGATCATGTGAACCTGTCGGGCAGGGGATGAGACGAAGGAAATAGATTTACACATCACAACAGACCTAATTTAATGCCGAGTCTACCTAGAAGAGGTCCAGGACAGGATCTGGTAGCCTCGTCACTGACAAACAACGAAGAAATCTCGAATCCAGGCTGCGGGAATCGTAGTGCCGTGAGCGGAGTGTTTGTTTAAACTCCGCCCTGAAGTTGTCTTCAGCGAGAGACGCCGGTGGCCGCCGTGACAACGCTCCCCCGTGCATTCGCCCTGCGACATTACAACCGGTTCCGTGGGTGGCCAGGCTAAGAAGCACGCAGCTCTCTCATGATCAGGAGCAAGGTGGCCCCACTACACTCAAGCCACATGGGCCGGTCGATGCTCGTTTGGCCCAGCACGTCGACTAATGTGGGCCGCAGTATCGCTCGCCGGGGTCGGCTCGCTTCCCAGCGGTCACGGGAACCGTGGTATAGGGCTATGGCCACGCACCGAGCTGGCATCGCCACCAACACTGTCGCCATCACCACCACCACTGTCCCACCCCCCACCACCCCCACCACCCACACCCCAGCTTGCCTGCGGGTTGTCCTTGGGTGGCTCGGGGGGCGCCGGCATGTCGCTGACGGTGCGCAGGATGTCGTGCGCAAGATTGGCGACGTGCAGCACCGGGTTGGAAATGACAGTCTTGAGAGTGGCGAGCGACGCCGAGATGAGTGGCAGCACGGTCGGTAGCGGCAGCCGCGAGTGCAGCTGCTTCAGCACCGCCTCCTGGTCGCAACGTAAAGACAACACGTGGTTGCCCTGGTCACTGGACTGCTGGATGAAGGCCTCCCTAGTCGACCTAAATATTCACCACTTTTATTGGTCGCGAGCAAGAATCGAACTCAGGTGGCCGGGTTCGTAGTGCAGTGCAAACGCTAACCATGGCGCCACCTCTCCATGCACACGTGTTCGCACACACACACACACACGTACACACACGTACACACACGTACACACACGTACACACACGTACACACACGTACGGGCCACGCGCGTCACCTGCTGCGACTCCTGTATGAGGAAGAGGAGCTCGACGCGCACGGAGGCCAGGCCGCCGCCCTGCGCGCCGTGCAGGCTGCAGTAACCCAGGAACATGTGCAGCAGCGGCAGGTTGGCGCACAGCCACTGGCGCCGGCGCGCCGCGTGCAGCTGCCTGGCACGTAGGCTGTGCTGCTCGCGCCAAGCCTCCGTGTCGTCCGGCGTCACCCCGCCGCTCCCACCACCGCCAATAAAGGGACAAGCGTCCGTGGCGCCGGACAACTTTGATCCGGCGTCCTCGGCAACCGTATCCAGCGAGCCGGCGGCGGTGCCGTGCAGGTCGCCGGGGTAACCGCACACCTCCTGCAGCGTGGCTACCTCGCGCTCCAGCCAGTGGCACAGCTGCACGTGCAGCTTGCCTCTGTCCACCTGGGGGCACAGGCAAGTCGGTGTGTACAGGTGAGTTGTGAGCTCGGCTAAGTTTCATGCTAGGACGAGTTGCGTGCTCGGGCGAGTTGCACGTTTGGGTAAGCGAACGAGTCAGGCAGGAGACCGCGGACGGCACTCGACGCGGCCCGGGGGCTGCCCGCACCTCATATCCTGTCGCCAGCGTGCGCAGCTCGTCCACGAGCAGCTTGAGGCACGCACGGAACTTCATCTGCTCCGCCATCACGTCCACGTAGCCGTCCGTGCCGGGCGGCGCAGGCGGCAGAGACTCCGGCCTGCCAAGAGAGAGAGAGAACGGTCGATCAGTGGCGGGTTTGCCAATCAAGTATGGTTATTGTGTCAGTGTTGTAGCCAAAAATAAATGCCACGTATTGATTTTTGGGTGAGGCCATGTAATGCAGCCTCTGCCAAATATCGCTTCTGAGCCATGATGTTGGCTGCTAAAGCCTACTACGTGTTTGGTTATTGCTCAGGAAGTCTGCAATTCAAGCGTCGCACAACACACTCCTGCAGGAGTGAGGGTGACTGCAGCATTTAAACCTGGGTCAGCTGAAAAACCTGGGCGTGGGCCCTCAACGAAATGGTTTTGGACTCCAATCTTTGCACCCCACCACGAGTTATCTGCTCATATCCGTGATGAATAATTTCATGAAAGAGTGCTGGAACAACCCTAGCCCACTGGGTTGGAGGTTAGGGAACGTAACCTGACAGCCAAGCGGAGCACTCTCTCCCAACGGCAACGAGCGAGCGAGCGAGCGAGCCCGCTGGGAGCGTCCCTAACAAAACGCTGACGTCACCTCTTCTCCGCGTCGCTCTCCACGACGTCGGCGGTGCCCTTCTTGAACGCTCTCGTCTTCTTCATGGTGATCCCCTGGTCTTCGTCGTCGTCGTCTTCCTCGTCCTCCTCCTCCTCCTCGTCCTCCTCGCTGTCCCAGCTCAGCTCCAGAGGCTCGTCCGCCACCGTCATGGCCGAGCTGGCCCAGTCGGCGCTCTCCGCCGTGTGGTGCCCACTCGACGGGTGGGCGCCCGCCGTGCCCCACGCGCTGCCGCCACCGTGCTGGGGGGGGGGGGGGAAGGGGTCGCGGGTCAAACTTAAGGGGCCTACAGCATTGAGGCATCTCGTTGATTGTCTACGAGCGATCAAGGTCAAGATACGATCGTGGCCAAAACCGCTTAAGGCCACCACACGTCGCCAACGCTTTGTGCCCTCTGCCAGATCCCGCAGCTGCTGCACAGCAGACGTGCAAATTCCATCGCCGAGGTGAGTCATCACTAGTGGGCTACCCGCTAGTGACACTAGCCACTCACCAGTCACCAATCACCCGACTCTCACCGGTTAGACAACAAAGTAGGAAACCAGTCGCAGGAAGTAAGTTGGGATGGTGGAGCGGATAAGCAATGACAGGAGCGATATCTGGAATTCCACACCTCTCACACTAAATATAGGTCTATGGGATAATAATACTCTTTCATCACAACGAACAACGGCCATCTCACGCAGTGTCAGTCGTGCGGCTCGTCTGACCAAACTTCACCGTGCTGGTCAGCAGAGCGGGAGTAGAGGCGAGCAGTTCTACCCCATTCCTACCAACCTATGGACCCTCCCCTCCATCTATCAGTCCAACTCTTGAACTATCTAGCCTTTACTCTCAAAACATACATACATAGCGACATACATACATTTCTAGCTATGCATCATTGATCGACCTGCCTGGCCACCCTACCCATGAATCTCCAACCCTAACCCCGAGTGCAAGGGGGGTGGGGGAAGGGGCGGCGTTGGGGCGCGCTCACCACGTGTCCATTTTCCAATGGCAATCTCCCGCCGCCCCTGGCGCTGGCGACGGTCACCACCTCCTTCTCGGCATGCGGCATCCGCCGGAGCACGTCAAGCGCCAGCAGCGGGCAGCCCGACTTGAGGTGGGTGCTCGCCGTCGCGAAGAACAGCCGGCGCTCGCGCAGGCTGATGGTATCGGCGGGCCGCTGGCCGGCGCCGCCGTGGGAGAGCATGTGGTGGCGCACGATGAGCGGGTGGCCGCGCAGGAAGTTGTAGAAGTTGAAGACGCCCGGGCTGCACAGGCCCGGCGAGGCGCTACCGCCGCCGCTGCCGCCGCTACCACCGTCTTCGTCTGTGCAGAGAAATTGAACCATGGAGTTTAATTTGACATTGATTCAGTCATTTAACCAATCCCAATCCTCTAATCGTGTGAGCGCACATACCATGTACAGGAAATAATGGTGATTGGGGGAATTTTTTTTACATGAAAATATAAACAAAACATTTAATTGGTCTCCCGAAATATTATTTGCAGTGCGTGGGTTTTCTAGAGATAACATCGCTCCTCCCACACAACAAACATCCTCCAAACAGGAAACCGGCCAAACGCTCGTCAAGTGGGACATTCTCCAAGACAAGACTTGAGATTCATTAAGAGCGTAGAGCTGACAAAACTTGGCACCGCTATCTTAGTCGGCTCATTTACCGGCGTCGCAAGCAGAATCCGGCTGCTCCAGCAGCGCGTCCAGGGCTCCGGAGTAGTCGCTTTTTACCCAGCATGCAATGCTGCGTAGAAAGGGATCGCGGTCCTTGCGCAGCTCGCAGGCCCTCGTCAGCTCGGCGAGCTCCGGCGTCGCGGCGGCATCGGCCCCCGACACCTCGTTTCGGCCCAAAACGCGGCACCCCAGGATGGACTGGTAGGTGGCTGGTGCGTCCGTGTTGGCCTCCTGCAGTCGCGCGACGACCAACGCCAGCTGGATGTCGTTCAGCTTCTCCAGGCACACCTGCGTGGGAGTTAGGGAGCGGGTTAGGCGGTCGACTTAGGCAGGTGAAGAAATGTGCGAGTGCGTTCACCACTGTGCCAGTCCACGCCGAGCTGAGGGTTCCGATTTGCTATGGCAGTGGCTCCCGGGCCTGTGCTCTGCAAGGCCGTGGGAAGTGGCCTGCGGAACTCGTTGCACGTGTTATTTATTTGACAATACACCAGATATTTAAACTGCACGGTGGTCCACGAAAATGTACTAATAACAATGAATAATTTCGACTTACGCAGTGTTCGCTCACTCTCAACAAGGGAGAGAATGACTCGGAGGTACGACAAATCACAAGCAAGCGGGAAAGCAGCAGCCAGGCTGTGAGCTTACGCAATCAACAATTGCCCAAGCTTTGAGGTCCTCTACATGTTAAGATGTTTTCCGCCAATTAATCAGTATTTATACGTGGGAGGACATTCGAGCAGGCGGAGAAAACCCACGCATGTGAGGGGGCAACACTATCCCACGCAGAAGGGACAGATGATATTAGCCCACTTGCTGTACCGCCTGCTGCCGGCAAGCCAGGGTACGGCTCGTGCTCGACGCCCACAGGAAGGGAGTTCCACAACACCTGGCCGAGGGTTGAGAAGTGGTCTGCAGGCCCTGAAATGTTGGGAACCTCTGCTCTGAAGCCACCCAGCATTTATGATTCACCATACGTTGGCAAACCAAACTATTTTTATCGTACCAGTTAAAGCCCACTCAGCACTATAGCTCTTTTTCTAAAGCGACCTGGACACAAATGATAGATCAGTGAAGTGGCTTATGATGTGGACATTTATAGCAGCCAGAAAAAAAAACGGGGGACCCGGAGAAAAATCTACGCAATCATAGGGAGATCATGCAAACTCCAAATATACACGCATCAGGGTCGGGATTAAACCCACGGCCTCCTGTATACCAGGCGAGGTGGCTAACATCTCGCCACCGTGACGCCCATATATAAATATAGATGCCACGGCACAAGCAGATTAAATCAATAACTACATTTTCAAGGTATCGTGGATTTGCGGTCAAATTTTACTTGGGATTTGAGTTAAGACAACGTCACACAACAGCCTGCTACCCACCAAAAAGGATGACACGGTGTGATCTTTAAACTTCTGCTGTTAAAAACTGCCAGACATCCCTACAGTCAGTGGGTGAAGCGAACATTAACTATCGAGGTGTCAAGATCTCCCTGAATGCGGGAAATCTTGACACCTCGGCGTCTCCCGCCATTCGCTGGCCACGCGTTCCCACTGCCCGGCGGCGGAGCCGAAGGGGCGGCCGTGTGCGGTGCACCACGTGCCTCAATGGCGTCCCTCAGCGCCCCGGCCAGGAGGAAGAAGGCGGCCGCCTGCTCGAAGCGCCGCTTGCCGAGCAGCGCGAAGGCGTTCTTGAGCGCGGCGCTGCGCCACCGCTCCTCCGTGAAGTTGTTGCTGAAGAACTGGGTCATTTTCGAGTCGCCCTTCGACCTGCGACACGCCGAGCCGGAGCACGCGCGGCCCCACGGAAGCACCAAGAGACAACGGCGGGCCGTCGGTCAGTGCTTGTGGTCACCAGGGGACAGGCGGACGGTCAGAGGAGACGTGCGAATGCGGGGGTGGGAAGGGGTGGGAAGGGGTGGGAAGGGGTGGGAAGGGGTGGGAAGGGGTGGGAAGGGGTGGGAAGGGGTGGGAAGGGGTGGGAAGGGGTGGGAAGGGGTGGGAAGGGGTGGGAAGGGGTGGGAAGGGGTGGGAAGGGGTGGGAAGGGGTGGGAAGGGGTGGGGGGTCCCTCACCTGAACAGACCCCACAGGACCCCCTTTTTGCCCATGGCCAGGTAGTAGAGGGCGGCATCCAGGGGATCGTTGTTGCGTTGAAACGCCACCTTCGCCAGCTGCCCAAGGGAGGATAAACCACGTTATCAATCGTCGCGCTATCATTCGCCACTGAGCCAGCCCAGGGGAGGCCCACCAACCCACAAAATAACTTTGGGGTTTGTAGAAGGTTGTGGGAGAGGGAACAAAATGCACAGCCTGCTTGGCCTGCTTGCCCTGATCCTCCCAGTGGCGGCGGGGTGCAGCGTAGCAAGTGAGGCAGGAATTAACGCTCAGTCAACCCGGGGGAGTCCCACGCCAAGCACAGCCAGCATGTGTGATGACGTGTGCTCATCAGCAAGGAGTCCCCCACCGTTCCAGGACACGTTCCGTTTAGAGACATTACTGCCCATCTCCATGTGTAATCATCATCAGAGTCAAATCTGTAGCGGTGGGAAATTAAACTTTTGAAAAAATTATACAGTTTGAGCATTTTGGCAAACCACTGTACTTGAAACCTTCTTTCGAGTTATGGGCAGCAGAGGGTAACTGCAGACAACTCAATTGTAGCAACAAAAGTTGACGCTCCTCTCCTTCACCAACCTGCACTTGCTACGGTAAAATAATGCCCACGACTCACAGGGCCTCTTCCAGCAGTGGATGGACAATTTAGGCCATCCCCCGTATAGCCTTAACAGACTTTTGCTGTTAGCGAAGGCCGTAACGGCACACGAGGGGGTGGGTGGCCAGCACCACATTGTCTCCCTAGTGGCAATGTTTGTACACTGCACCAGGTACTAATTTAAGGCCGAGTCGACCTAGAGGAGGCCCAATACCGGTTCAGATAATCACTGGTATTGACCGTGAGCGGAAATCGAACTCGGGTTGCCGGTTTAGTAGCGCATCGCGCTAAACACTGCGCCACCGCTCCCCTGACACGCACCCTCACACACACGCGGGTGCCAAACCTTCTCCATGCAGAGGCGCAGGGCGGCGCGTCCCCTGAGCCACCAGCCCACGCCCATGGCGCGCAGCTCTGCCCACGTGGGGCCGTCTGCCCTCTGCATCGTGGGCAGCAGGCCCAGCAGGTCCTCCTGCGACGTGGAGTGGAACGCCCACGCAAAGTGGCACGTCGACAGGCCTGCGGGAGGATGGCGACGGCAGAGGGCGCCGGCGCTGTCGGTTAACAGCTTGTCCTTGTAGAGCGTTGCGGGTGTATGGTCAGGACGTGGGAGGAGGTTTGCATCGGGGGGGGGGGGGGAATTGTGTTGTCGGAGTTCTGGTCGGTACCAATTCTATTTCATTCATGCCTGCGATGGCGGTGTGGTTCAGGAGCTAAATGTCAATGTCGAGGTCTGCTGCTGGCCATGACGAGAGGGGCTTTAGGAGAGAGTTTGTGTAGTTTTACTATTCCTCCTACGTTGAAATAGCGCAGATGAGAGCAATTTGCTATACGGTCCATAGTCTTGGGTTGTATGGCCGCAATCGCACCGCTGTGGCTTTGTCTTGAATTTTCTATTGATGATGTTCTGATGTGGTTAATGGGTTGCACTAGTGTCTTCGAGGAGGAATGTCAAAGCCAGAAGTTATGCAATGTTTGGCGGTAATTACATTGATTGAGTTGCTGTTGTTTGATGTTTACCATGTGCGGTTTCCATTGGTGTGGAATGAATTGTTGGGGGAATGGTGTTGGTGGGCAATGAATCTACGAGGTTGGCGCTGGATAGTTTTTTTGCAGGAGAGGTTTTCGTCGGGGAGGTTGCATGTCGCAGAGGGTTGAGGAGTCTGTTGGGTTGATCGGGTTGTGACCTTGGTGGGATTAGCGTTGGTAAAGTTTGTGTTGATAAAGTCTGCATGAGTGTGCATTGTGTTGGTGGGGCTTATGTTGATAAAGTCTGCATTGCTGGGGATTGTGTTAGTGGAGATTGTGTTGGTGGAGATTGTGTTGGTGGGATTCGGGTTGGTGTGGTTGGGATTCGGGTTGGTGGGGTCGGTGTTCTCACCCTGGTGCTGAAGCTGAGCTCGGTGCAGGGGCGGCAGGGAGGAGAGCAGGAAGGAGTGCAGCCTCACGGCGAGCAGGAAGCGCAGGCCGCACGCGTCCACGCTCTCTGCACGGCCCACAGAGAGACGCCGCACGATCGGCATTTCAGCGAGCGATGCAATTCAGGGCACGTAAAGTGATGTTGGCCGTGGTCGTGAATTAGCACGGCGAGTGGGAACCGAACTCGGGTGTGTACTGGTTTGCACGCTAACCACTACACGACCGCTCCCCACATACACACACAGCAAGCGCCGACGCCGCTCACCCATGCTGCCCTGGCTGGCGGTGGTAGCCACTGTGTCGGCGAGTGCCATCAGGTGCATCTGCTCGAGGCGCGACAGGCCCGGCAGGCTGGCCTGTACCAGGTGTCCCGCCAGCACCTGCGCCTGCTCGGGCCCAAAGTAGGTGGCGCCGAAGCGCGACAGGTCCACTACGCGGTTGGCGCCTGCCAGCTCGTCGCCCTCCGTCTCCCCGTCCACCGTCGCGTCCAGGTCGTCAGCGGTGGTGAGCGACGGGACCTCGAAGAGGTCGCCGTACTGGTCGGTGTCGGCCGAGCCGCCCACGCGCCTCCCTTCCTTCTCCGGCACCTAGGGGTGAAGAAATCCAGAGCAAAAACAATTTAAATGAGTAATGACGACAAAAACAACGGTGCAGCAGCCGCGGGGGTTGACGCCCAACGGAACATCCGCTGCAGAGATGGAAGGACGAAATCAGCTCGGGTGAAGGTTGCAAGGTGAAGCGTCAACCTCGCGAGAGGCGGCGAAGGCTTGGGGAAGCCGAACAGTGGATGGACCAATGGCTGCTGACGACGACGAAAATAATTAGGAGAGGCGAAGAAAAGCAGGCAATGTGGTACGAGGAGGTGGGAGAGCGCGCACAGGGGAGCCTGCTACAGCTCGCGGAGAGGGAGAGAGCGGAGCACGGCGGGGAACGTCACGCGCAGGGTTACCACCCACCTGCCCGGGGTTGTGCTGCGTTGGTCCCATCGAGCCGGCACCGTCGGCCGCCAGGAGGCTGAAGAGGGGCAGTGGCGGCACGGCGTCAATCTGCGGGTAGTCTCCCGCCTCCTCCCGCCCAGCGAGCATGCCGCTACTCGTGCTGGGCACCACGAGCAAGGCGGACAGACGGACATGCGAGATTTGGCGACGCGGGGGTCGAGGGTGAACGCTCAACCGTCTGAACGGATGGATTCACGAACCCATCCGGTGCGTTGCCATCTCCTGCCAAAGTCACCTTGCGAAGAATCGATTTTCACGCACGTAATTGAACGCCGCACGGCACATCACGACGTTCACAAAGACAATGATTCCCTGTATAGTCGCCTTTGTCTCCCCAGTGCTGATGTTTACCAGACCAGGTACTCTTTTCAGGGTGAGTCAACCTAAAGGAGGCCCAGGACTGGTTCAAATATTTGCCACTGTTATTAATCGAACTCGGGTCGCCGGGTGGTTCGTAGCGTAGTGCGCTAACCACTGCACTACCGCTCCACCTGCGCAAACACTTGAACACACACGCACACACACACGACACACACACCTGCCGGCGCTGCGAGTGCTTGCGTTCCCGAGTGCTCAGCTCCGCGCCCGCCTCCGCCACGTAGGCCAGGTCCCCGGCAACGCAACGCACCAGGTGAGCAAGCACCGCCCTCACCTGCAGCAGCAACAGCAGCACACACAAAAAAAGACAAAGATTCCCCGTATAGCCTTCACAAACTTTTTCAGGGAAAGTGCTTTTAGCGGGGAAGTACGAAGGCCGCCACAGTATACGAGTGGGTGGGTGTTCATCGCCACACCTGGCCGCTTTGTTTCACTAGTGGCGATGTTTACACACCGAACCAGGTACCAGATTTGTCCGAGGGGAGGCCTGGGACTGGTTTGAAATTTTAGTCACCGCACACACACAAAGACGCAGACACACCCTAACGACAACGATGCCCCATATGGCCTTAAAAGGCTGTTGGGGCAAGTGCTGTTAGTGAGCAGTGTCAATGAAGGCTGGCACGGCACACTAGAGGGTTAGTGGCCAACTCCACCCCTGGCTGCCTTTGTCTCCTAAGTGGCGATGTTTACACACCGCACCAGGTACTCATGTGAGGCTGAGTCGACCTAGGGGAGACCCAGGTCCCATTCCGATAATCGTCACTGGTGTTGATCGTGAGTGGGAATTGAACTCGGGTGGCCAGGTTTGCAGCGCAGCACGCCAACCACACACTCACCTGACGCACTCTGCCCAGGTCAAGCAGCCCGGACAACTGCAGGGGGTGGTACTGCGGCAGCGTGGGAGACAGCACCTCGGCCGCCTCAAAAAGCCCGCACCCCCGCACCGCCTCGGGCAGCACCAACGCCGGGTTCTGCTCGTGCAGCAGCGGACGCAGCGCCGTCGGGCACTTGGACAGGCTCTTCCGTGACGGCAGCGGCTGCTTTTTGGCGCCGCCAAATTGCGCCGCCTGCCGGACGTTGCCGGCGCTCGCGCTGTGCCGGGGAGCGCGCGACGCGACCGACGACGAGATCTTGTCGAACTCGCGCGTCAGCAGCAGCGCCTGCTCGTCCGCGACGGAGACTGCTGCGGAGGCGGCGGCGGCCGGGTCCTGCCACTGCGAGTAGACGTGCATCTCGCAGTCCATGCCGGCCACCAGCACGCCGTCGCGCACCCACGACAGCTCGACGGGCAGCGCCGGCGAACCGTCGAACGCCGACACGAGCCCCACGCAGCGCAGCGGCACCCAGCGCGTCTTGGTCGGGCGGTACGACGCGGGCAGGGCGCCGTGCGACGACACCGCCGGCGCCCCGCCGCCCGCCGCGCCCCTCGACAACGGCTCCCCCGCCGTCCAGGAGAGGCGGCCGTAGATGACGACGCGGGCCCCGACGGCCACCGTGAGCATGTGGGAGCCATCCTCCTTGGACACCCAGTCGATGTGCAGCAGGTGCTTGGCGTGGTCGTGGTGGTGGCGCAGGAGGGCGCGCTCGGTGGGGCCGTGCGGGTGCCGGTGGTGGACGGAGGAGGCGGCGCCGTCGCCGCCCAGCGGGTGGCTGTACACCATGAGGTTGCTGTCCACGGCGTGGTGCGGGTGCAGGCGGCGCCCGACGCCGCCCAGCGGCAGCGTCTCCTCGAGCAGCCACGACGACCCGCCGCTCGACTCGCACTCGAACACCGACACGTAGAGGCTCGAGTCGCGCGCGCTGCTCGCGTTGTGCTCCTCACGGCTGGCGAGGGAGGGGGAACGGAGGGAGGGCGAGCGATGGTGAGGGTGGGTTCACGAGTGTGTTGTGAGTGTGGTGATGAGTTGGTGAGTGTGTTGCGAATGTACCTATGTATATATGTTAAACTTCTTTCGCACCGTACGTAGGCAACCGTGCAGATCGGAGTGTTTTGCAAGTGTGAAGCTGGATTCATGAGCGTATTTCAATTAGTGGACGCCGACTTTGTGAGCGCGATGCGGGAGCGCACGGCGCATCACGGCGCATCACGGAGCAACGCTCACCGGTAGGCGACGGCCACGCAACCCGGGTAGGAGCAGCTGACGGCGACGGGCCGGCCCGGCACGCTGATGGCGCTGGGAGCCGCCTCGTCGCACTGCAGGGGCCACTCCTCCCACGAGTAGCTGGCGTCCTGCAGGGCGGCGCACACCAGCTCATTTCACCATCCTCGTCTCCGATTCGCGCGGATTGGCTACTTACGGTGCTAAAGACGTTCAGTGTACATACGTACACGTACAGACACTCACTCGCACATCCACTCAAATCACTTAATCGGGATTGTACATAATCATCGCCCCCTACTGGCCGGCCAATGCCCCAGGACATTCTTGTAAGTGAGACTCTATCCTGGCTTTGTGCGAGTTCCCACTTAGTTACATTATTTGCCTGCTCCACCACTCAATCACTCGCCTTAATCGTACACCCGCTCATTCACTCCTAAACCCACGCATTCACTCATCTCAATCGGACACTCACTCATCCATTTCATCCAAAAAAATGTGCTCGTACATTGCTCACGGTGAATCCGGCGCAATTGGGACGCGCCATATTTTAAACGCGGGCGCAAGGTGGCACCGAACCTGCGGTCCATTGCTGCCCGGCTGCTGCTGCTGCTGCTGCTGCTGCGAGGCTTTGGCATCGGAGACGGAGCAGCGCCAGAAGCGGACGGTGCCGTCGGAGCAGGAGGTGGCGATGAGGTAGGGAGCGAGGCACACGGGGTAGATGGACGAGGAGCTCAGGTGGCCTGCAGATGCGGCCCAACAACAAATCGCTGTTCACGAGACGAACGCAGCCGCTGAGAACTAGAGGCGCAGCAACGAGACTACGCTCGATTCGTGCCAGGTGGCACTTTTTCCTTTACGTCAGAATTTTGCCAACGTCTTCGTCACCATTATCATCAGCCATAATCAATCCGCTGCTGGATGAAGGCCTCCCCAAATCATCACCGGCTCTCATAGACATCACCAACAAGGAGGGGGGTTGGGGGTGAAGGGTTTCAGCCATTTAATAAAATGTGGAATAGGGGCCAAAATGCAATCCTTTCTGTGGGGAGTGAGTACGGGCGTGACCGCCGCCCCCACACCGGAACCCGGCGGCACAAACACCACGCCTGTGAACACGGCGCGTTACCTGCGGCGGGCGTGGCGTGAATGATCTCGACGCCGAGCTGCAGCGGGAGCGGCTGCGAGTGGAGGAGGCGCGAGGCGAGGGTGAGCCGGCTCGCCGTCTGCAAGTTGGCGCTGGAGGCCGTGCGGGGCAGCGTGGTGCTGCCGCCACTGCCGCCGCCGCCACTGCCAAAGGGCGGCCGGGATTCAGCGGACGACGACGTTGACGAGGAGGAGGAAGCTCCGCTGCCAGTGCCGGTGCCCGATGACTGTGGCGTGCCGGGCGAGTTCTGCCATGCCGGCATCTCGGCTGAGTGCGACAGGGCGGTGGAAGAAGGGGGGGGGGGGGGAGGAGGCGTGAGTGAGTGTGGTGTGGTGGGCAGGCTGGTGGGGAGAAGTGTGGGGATACCCAGTTCTTGTGCGGCGAGTATCCGCACAGACTTGCTTGATCGACCGTGCGACCTGTGGAGGCGCGTACCGGCGAGTGCCTGCACGGAGGTCAGGTGGAGGCTCCACATCTTGAGCAGCGACTGCCCTCCCTCAGCTCTCTCGATGGACACCAGGAAGAACCTCTCGGAAAACTGCGGCGCCCGGCCGGGACCTGCGTACGGCATGGCACGAACGCAAACGCACGCGTTGATTATGACGCGGGTGAGGAGGAGGGGGAGGAGGCGTCGCGCGGCCCCTGACGAAAGGGCGCCGTCGCGACGATGGGAGCTTCGCCCAATTCTTGTTTTTGTTTGGCGGCGAGGCGGCGTTTTATGGCGGCTCACCGGCACCGCTCGCCGGGTTGGATCCGTCTCCCTCCTCCGTGTCCTTGGAGCGCCGACCGAGGATGAGCTCCTCCGAGAAGACGTGCAGGAACTGCGTGCTGGATGGGCACTGGACACGGCGCATGGCACAGGGAAGCGGCGGTTAATCCAAGCACTTCGGCTCGGTCACAATCACAACACAACTTTAGCTTTACACAAATTATGTCGGTGATGCTGCTTCCGCTGCCTGTATTGGCAGGCAGCTTACGATATGGGTCGTAGATGGGTAAAGCCCTTCAAGTGTTGCTATTCGATCCGCCGTACACAACAATAAATGATGGGTGGCGAGGAGGGAAAGGGGGCGGGCGAGGGGGGGGGGCGGCACCTGTTCAGTGATGACGTCCAGCTCGATGATGCAGCCGGGCCGAGCGGTCGACTGCTGGCTCACGATGCTGAACACGTCGCCCACCAGACGCTGCACGCGGCGGCGAACATGCAGCGCAAGCACGGCAGCAGCACAGCGAGCCAGTGAGTGGCACTCAAAGGAATAATAATAACAATAATAAACAATATAATGTTAGTGTGGTTTTCCGAGTTGGGTCTGCGTGTTGAGCACCAGGCCGTCTATAACTGGTTGTGATCAATGAGCTTTTGGCTTCGCGTTGGAGGAAACTAGAGTGTCCGGAGAGCAGCCTTGGGACGCACAGCCGAGGTGCGTGTTTACACATTAAGGGTCAATTTGTTAATTGGGCCGCATCTATCTTCATGAATAATGAATGCAGAGGTGGCTGGGTGGCTCATGGCAATGAACCAGCACGGCTGAGATTCTGGCTTCAAATCTGGGTGTCAGCCTCCCGTTTTTAAACCAGGTTCTTAAGTGCAGTTAGTCGATGGTGCCAGTCCCATCGCCGACAATGACACACAGACAAAAAACTAATATGGTTGATCAATTAAAAGCTCTGAGAATAAAAAATATCTGTCCAACCCGCAAACTTCTGTATCGCGGGTCACATGAGAAGGTGGCTGCAACCCTATCGAGGATAAGGTGTCACTTGAAGGAATATCAATCCTTCTGCGAGCAGTATGTCAACGCGGGGCTGCGGCACTGCCATGCAGGGGGAGCTCCGAATGATCCGACGCCAATTAGCACGATTGGAGTAAAACCGGAGAACGGACCAAAAAGCAATAAAAACGGCAGAACGAGACGTGGGCACGCTCACCGACAGCTGCGGCTTGGAGAGCTCGTCGAGCAGCTTGCGGGCGTCGATCACGGCCTGGTACAGGCGCAGATTCCAGCCGTCTGACGCCACGAAGCACGAGCTCGGGGAGTTGCAGTACGTCCCTGTGCGAACGCAAAGCACGCACACAAAGATCCCCCGTGTAACCTTAACAGACTGCTGGGGAAAGTGCTGTTAGCGAGCACCGATGAAGGCCGGCACGGCACACGAGGGGGTGGGTGGCCTACACCACGCCCGGCCGCCTTTGTCTCCCCAGTGGAGATGTTTAAATATCACACCAAGTGCTTATTTGAGGCCGAGTCGACCTAGGGGAGACCCATGACCGGTTCACTGGTGTTGGCCGCGACCAAGAATCAAACTCGGGTCGCTGGGTTCGTAGCGAAGCTCGCTAACCGCTACGCCCGCATTTACACATTAACACGAGCACATTAATACTAGCACATTATCACTACCACATCACCACAACCACATTAAAACAACGACACTGAGGCTACTACATGAATACCATTATATCAACACACCACCAGATTAACACAAACAACATGCAAGCACACACACACAGACGTTCCGCTATGTACACTCCAAGTGCTATTCCCCCCCCCCCCTCTTTTATTTAAATTTCCTAACTTAATTCCCGGTGTGCTCACCTTAAAATAAAATATTAGGACAAAGATCCGCCCGTATAGCCGTAACAGACTGTTCTGTTTGCGAGCACCTATGAATGCCGGCCACGGCACACGAGTGGTGCGTGGGCAACACGATAGCCTTTGTCTCCCCAGTGCTGATGGTTATACACAATAGCAGGTCATCATTTGAGGCTGAGTTGACACAATAACAAACACACACATACAGACACACACACACACGTCAGCTGCCCCGATTGTTGCGAGCCTCCCAGCCGCGTCAGCTGGAGAGCCGGCACCTTCTCTCCCGTCTCTCAAGAAGGGAGAATAATTCACACTCGTGACATGCACCGAAGAGAGGCACTGCGGGTAGGTGACGAGGAGGAGGTAGGTGGCATGGGCAGCCCCACACCGTGGCTCCAACGGGAATTGCTAAAGGTGTAAAGTCCTGCGGATGCCAACACCGACGAATAATGAACACATACACACCGCGGCCTACACTGCCTTGCCGGCGCCGCACTCACCGAGGCAGTACCCCGGCACGGTGGTGGGCAGCCACGCCATGTGCGCAAAAGCGTCCTCGCTGGCACAGTTGATGCGCGCCAGCTCCAGCACGCCGCCCGTGTGGGACAGCGGCCCCACGGGGTCCACGCGCCACAGGATGAGCTCGCTGCGCACCGCCAGCACGTCGCAGTCGCTCATCAACCGCCGCAGCTGCCGGCCGGGCGGTCCGCAGGTGCCGCCGCCGCCTTCGCCGCGCCGGCTCCTCCGAGTCATCGCCGGGCCGGCAAACGCGTCGCCCGGCGACCCGCCCGGCGACCTGCCCGACGACCCGCCCGCCTCCCTTCGCACGAAGCGACCGCTCGGTTGCTTCCGAGCGACGTCGTCCGTAGGCGACGGTCGAGGGGAAGAGCGGCCGTCGGGCGGCGCGTCATCGCGCGGGGCGTGGTGCGCCGTGGTGAGCAGCAGCGGCAGCACGGCGTGGCACGCCTGCCCCGTGAGGCGGAAGCGGTGGCCGCAGTAGCGCGACTGGTGCGAGATGCCCAGCACGGTGCGGAAGGCGGCGTCCTCGCCGAAGCAGACGGCCCACTGGTTGAGCGAGCCGTCGGCGTGCTTCGTCACCAGCTTCACCGAGGGCGGCACCAGCAGCGCGCCAAAGGGCCCGCCCATGCCGCCGCCGATGCTGCCGATGCTGCCGCAGCTGCCGAGGTTGCGGCCGAGGCTGGAGGAGATGAGGTGGCCGGAGGAGCTGCGAGGCACGGAGGAGAACGAGGAGGAGGAGGAGTAGTAGCGCGGGTGGTGAGGGCTGGTGCCGGCGGTGGGGTCTCCGGCGTGCCGGGCGCCGCTGGGACACGCGTACAGGTACATGTGCTTGCCCATGGAGTGAGCGTCGCCAGCGGGGAAGGCGACGGGGATGCGCGAGGAGAAGCAGACCTGGGGCCAGGGACAGCGATACCCATGAAATATCAGCACGAGCACATAAACACCGCCACACCGCCATTCGCCACATAGTGACGGTGACGTCAACACACGCGCATTAACACATTAACACCACCACACTGATACTCTACCACATTAACACACCCGCATGAACACATTAACACGACCACATAATCACAACCACATTAAAACTACGACATTGAGGCTACAACACCAGATTGAGAACCACGACATCAGCATAATTATAGCACCACCAGATTTACACCAACAAATCAATAGCACCACACCGACACTGTTACATCAACGCACCAAACCCTGGGTAAATACATTTCGTTGTTATCACGTATATTAGGCCGCGTTATGTTTCCGCTTGGTATGACTAGGTATGTTGATCAGACTCTGTCAGAGAAAAAAAAACATCAAGAGTATCATATAATCAAAGAAAACTTAACGTGCAATGTTTTTGGGCAAGGACACATTGCAAAGCACAGCGAGTTGGTTTTTGCCCGATCAAGAAAGAGTACGATTCCCTTACGTGCACAGGTGATAAAGCGGCACTCACTGAGGCAACATAATTTGTTTAAGGATTATATAAACTCCATGCAAACGTTACATTCATGGTGAACAGAGCAGACACAGGGCAAACGAGAAACCATTCGAAGAAAACCTTACAAAATACATCGATTTCTGCCTCAAATCTAGACCCCCCACCCCCACAACTTGACAATTCATGGAATGAGGAGGAGGTAGGCGACTCATTACGTGCCAATAAGAACGCTTACAGGAGGAGCATTGTGTACTTGCTGGAATAAGCAAACAGAAATGACTGTTCACTTAAGAAAAGTAGTTGGGCAGGATACATCGCTGGAGGGGATGACGGCCGGCGGTGGAATCCAATTGTTGAAAATGGCAACCCAAGGATGGAAGATAGCCGAGAGGTTGAGACGGAGCGGCGGTGAAATCAACTTTTGCTGGGCAGCGTGAGACGGACCGTCGCACTGCGCGACCACGTAAAACCACGGCGGTGGCTCGCCAAAGCCTTCGCCCGCCAGCGGACTGATCACGGCTGACGACGACGCCGACCGGTGACCGTATAGGCGACGCGCGGCCGCGGTGTCGGCGTGTACGCTGGCGGCAACCTCACCTGCACCTGCTTGAAGACGCCGGGCTGGCTCTCGTCGAGCCAGTCGACGTGCCACACGAGGAAGGAGCCGTCCAGCGCGTGCACGCTGTACAGCATGTCGGGCGCGCTCTGCCAGTCCCTCACCAGCCAGTCAAGTCCATTCTCCACCTGCCACGCCGCCCCGGCCGCGCCCGCGTGCTTGGGCTTCCCGGTGCCGCCCGGCGGCCCCGAGCCGTCTGCCGGGGTGGACGCCGCCACCGCCGCGGTGGCGGTGAGGGTGGTGTTGGTGGTGGTGCTGATGCCTGGGGGCCGGCGCGGCGCCGTGCCGGTGGGGGTGTCGCTCTCCTTCTCAGAGCCGTCGTCCAGCGAGCAGATGCCGTCCTCGGATTCTGCGCGGTCAAACAAAGGTGGTGGAGGGGTGGCTTGGTAGTTAGCACGCTGCGCTGCAAACCCAGCGACTCGTGTTCGGTGAGAGACAATGGCTACCATCAGCGTTGAGTGATATCTAAACCTGTCTTGAGCCACCCCACCCCCACCAAACCCATCGCTGTCGTCATCAAGAACACACGCAATTCCTGAATGCAGCCGTTCCCACATATCATAAACGACTCCTACTCTCCCCCGACTATCATTCCGTCCCAAGGTAAATTCCAATGGCCATCATCACCCCAAACTTATCTTAATAGTCTACGACAACGTCCCCAATTTTTGCATCCGTCGCTCGATACGCACCGCGGGACGAACTGTGGTTGTCGCTGTTGCCGTCCGGGGCGTCGCGGCCGCCGACCTCTCCGCTGGCCTCCTCCTGCGACCCCCGTGACCCCCGTGACCCAGCGTCGGCCGCCCTGCCGCTGCCGCCCCTGCTGCCCCCCGACGGTGCCGGCGGTTGCAGCTGCTGCAGGAGGCACTCGAGCGAGAGCGTGAACTGCAGGTACTTGTTGTTCAGCCAGTGCACTACGAACGGGGGCCCGTCGCCGTCCACTCCCGGGCATCCCATTGCCGGCATCAGCGGGATGTCTGCATCGGCACGAGAGGTTCGGGAGGTCAAACACGGAGAACGAGCGGCGTTGGGCGTGCTCACGGCGCCGCGATGCAGAGCTCGGGACACTGTTGGTAGCGCCGGCTCCACCGCCTGCCTGCTGTCTTCCAACTCGTCTGTGGTTCCTCAGCGACTGTGAGATGCAATTTACAGGACTACACTATATATACAGGGACTCCTCTACTTACAAACATTCTACTTACGAACTTTGAGAGATACGAACAAATCTGTCCGAATGTCCAGTTGCTTGTTTGGACCAAGAGTTGTAAGTTTAACCGCCGCGCAATAGATGGTGGTGGTGGCATCTACATCTGCAGAACATGGAAAACCAGTGGCATCTAAAGGAGAATATACAATCTTGATTTGAAGTTTTCGTGACTGCAGGAATCCATACTCTTTGGTTCTTTCGGTAAAGTCACGTGACTTTACCGAAAGAACCAAAGAGTCGAGATTATACAACTTTTAAAGCCATTTACCGTGCTTAGTGTACACGCCGTCCATGTTTGGAATCGACAGGAATAAAGTTGCACTTACGGATAAATCGACTTATGAACAGACCTCTTGAACCTAACTCGTTCGTAAGTAGAGGAGTCTTGTCTATAAAACGAAACATTATTAATAGCCCTTCGCCGTGAGTCACCCACCTGTTTTGGGGTTGATGCTGGCGGCGATGTGGAAGTGGGCGAGGATGCGCGGTTGCCGTGGTAACGCGGGCGACCCTGGCAGGGCCTCGGCCAGGACTGACCCGAGGCCGTCTCTCTGCAGCGTGCGTTTCCTGCGCTTCAGCATCTTGAGCTGCTGGAACGACTGCGCCCGAACGTGCACACACACGTCACACGAGCATGCACTCATCCACAAAGCACGCACCTCCACCATTCACAGCTCACCCACCCTTACGCAGCCATTCGCATTCATTATTTAGATTCGTGGTCAACAGCCCAATTTCCATTTGTGCCATCTGGGTTGTAATAATTTTGCCCACGATCGTCCTGTTTGCGTAGTTTTGTTTGCTCCATCATGCGCCACCCACCCCGAGCACGTGATGCATGCGCTCCCGCTGGGCCTTCCCGCGCGGCCCCGCGGCCGCAGCCAGCCGCACGGACGGCGGCGGCTCCCCGCGGGCGCCGTGCCCGCTCACGGCCGGGCACTCCTGCAGGCAGTCCTCGGGCAGCACCGTCTCCAGCCACACGCGGCAGATGCCGTCGCGACACGACGTGAGCAGCGTGTTGCAGGCGGCGCCCCTGCGCGCGCAACGCACACAACAGGTGGGACGGTTGTAATTACCGGCGAGACGTCGTACTTGAATTGCAAATGTGGTGGGTTAAGTCTCCAACACACGGGTGTGCTGAACTAATAACTAATTGGCATGTTTTGTTTACGTGACGAACCTTAATAGTTGGTAGTGTCAGGTGATGGCGGGTTTAACGACACATTTATATTTTCGTGATAAAGCCCCCCAAAAAACCTCTATTATAGATGGAACGTAGGTTGCAAAAGAGCTGGTACAAACGATTTGCGTTTGTTTTTAGGTTCAGGCACGTGGCAGTTTTACACCAAAAATTTCGTCGTTAAGGGTTAATGGTGACGGAATAATGACTAGAATTATTGCACCAAGCTTGGCCTCGCCCAAAAACAAATATGGACCAAAGACAAAGGATACTTAGTGTAGGTTTTTCAAGTTGTTGGGGCCAGTGCTGCTGGTGGATAAGGCGAGTCACGCGCTTTACCGCTGAGCCACAAGGCCGTATTGTTTTCCTTAGGGGCAAGACAAAATTGAGGGGTGAAAAAATATATTTTAATTGAATCACTGGAGCATCGGGAATTTTCTGAAATACGCGGAATTATGTCAGGGACTGCAAGGGATCCACAACGGCAGCAGAGCCGGTTCACGCCGTTCCCAACGGCACGTGGCGACCACAAGGCGTTACTCGCGCGCGCACCTGGGGAGGTACGTGCTGGTCTTCCTCCAGGAGAGGCTGGTGACGGCACGCGGGTGCGCCAGGTACGCAAACGAGAACGCCGGCCGTTCCGTCGGCATCACCACAGGGTCCGTACAGCTGCCACCGCCGGAGACGCCCACCACCCGGCACGCGTGCCACCCATCCGTGCGGTACCACACCTTCACCTAGGCAGTCGTTCTGGTGACGTGGCACACGTGCCAAAAAACACACGGAGACCACATGCGTTAAGATGGCAGGACACGCTCTCGGTGAAAACTAAACAAAAAAATCCAGCCCGGCGGTGGTGCGTTCACCGCTTCAAAGATTTGCAGTTCGAGCCCGGCGGCCGTCCTGGTTATCGCTGTGGTGTAAATAAACCATAAAACACGACACGCCGCCCGCTTCAAATTGGACATTAGAGATCCCCCGATGTCAATCGAAACGAGGGGCTATTGTGTGCCAGCGTCACGGTTTCAATATGGCAAATTCGAAAACATTAACCGCAAATATTATTAATTTAAGGTGCCACGTACCAATCAGGATTCAAAAAGACAAGGATCCCCCCCTTAACAGACTGTTGGGGAAAGTGCTGCTCACCACAACACACACGCACAAGCAGCCTCGCTCTTCAGCCCAGTTGTAGAATTTATCAGCCCCGAGAAATGGACAAATTTGGGACGAGACAATTTTTACAAAAAAGCATTTTCTAGCAGAATTTCTGTAGCTCACCTTGCCAGTGGTAGCGAAAAAATATCCATCCGGAGAGAATTTGATTTGCGTGACAGGAAGCGCGGTCCTGCCAGAGAGAGAGAATCAGAGCAATGAGTGCATGAGGAAGCCGTGGCTTACCGGGGCGGAGGGCTGAGCCAAACCCAGGGGACATGGGATCAGAGGATAGGGGATCAAGGAGGCAGCATCAGTGGGAAGGAGCAGCAATTCAGTGAGATTAAAGCTTACGTGTGTTTGTGGTGAACGGCTTTCAGTATATGTTTGACGCTCTCCCTTGAATATGGGTAACTACAAACTCTTGGCCGTCGGTTTGACGCGCTCCCTTGAGCACATGTTTATCACACTTCACCGAGAGCGTGGTTTTGCCGCGCTGCTGCGGGTATGCACTTAGCACCCTTAAACAAGCGCGGCTTTTTTTTACGCGCTCCCCTGATCAATGTGCTCGGAGAAACCGCGCTCCCCCAAACCTGCACGTCCAGACGGCCGCCCAGACGCAGCCCGTGAGCGCCGACTCGCTCGTGGGGCTGTCCACTGCGACCTCCGACCCCGGGGAGCACGACCACAGCTGCAGAGAGCTGGAGGCGGTGAGCAGAGAATCGGCTGTGCAAGCACACAAAGACAGAGATTCCCCCCCCCCATATAGCCGTTAACAGACTGTTGGGGCAAGGGCTGTTAGCGAGTTGCACCTATGAAAGCCGGCACGGCACACGCAAAGGTGGGCAGCTATCACCATGACAAGAAACCATTGTCTCCCCCATGCTAAAGTTTACACACCCTCACCAAGTACTCATTTAAGGTGGAGTTGACCAAGCGGAGGCCGAGGACCGGTTCAAATATTTGCTACTTATATTTGACGTGAGCGGGAATCCAACTTGGGTCACGGGGATTTGTAGCCAGCACTCCTCTTACACATGATACACATACATACACTGACACGCGTGCACACACACACCACCACCCAGACACAATGTGTTACAAGCTCCTCCTCGCTCACGCACCTGAGCATGCACCAGTTCGCCACCGAATCTTTCGCCCCCTTCGCAATTTGATTGTCACGATTGGAGCTCACGCTTGAAATTACAGTTGATTCTTTTAATCTTGTTAGCACCGTCCCATTTTAACAGTCTCATATGCACCGTCCTGTCTGAATTGTCCGTCCCGTTTAGTACCACACGAAAGCGCAAGTTGTTTCCATCGTACCAAGGCATCTTCCCGTGTACTGTTTGCGTCTTGTTTGTGCCGTCTCGTCTGTTGTCTGCCTTGCGTGTCCAGAGTTAACCTGTCCCCAACGTCGTCGATACCGCCTGTATAGTTTGCTGTACCGTCTCCCTAATTCGTTCGTTATGAACAAAAGCCCCATGGTTTCACATTTTTCACAAACTCTTCACCAACCGAGCATAATCAATGACCGCAAGCACAGGCGTAACTTGGCTCCATGCCATCCCCACCATCCCTTAGCATGCGTGGCCATCACGCCACCCGCCAAACCACATGATTGCTCTCTCACCCTGAGGGTCCCATGCCAGATCCAGGACCGCGGATGGGACCTTGAGCTGCCCTGTCTTGTGCCACTGCAAGCCGAGCTGGGTGGGCACACGCAGAAACGGAGCACGTTTTTATTACCAAAATGTTTTACCTGGGGAATGAAGGATAATCCCTTGAGACGGAACAATATTTAGATTTGCCGAGACCAGCGGTCTGGGAGAGAGCGTTCCTTGCTGAAGCAGCTGTATGTTTGAGCGAGAGTGTGCCTGCATGGGTTTCTACTCTAGGGGAGGAGGGTTACATTGTTGACTTCGATGTAATTCATCACATAAACAACACAATGGATGAACCATTCACAGTCACCAAAGTCTGCAAATGCACGCTCATTCATTTTAGTGCCAAGATATAACATTGGCCAAATCACCTGGCATACCGCAGAACTCGTCACATGTCATAAGCTAAGCGTAGTGGAGCCAGTATAGTGCTTGAATAAGTACCCACCATGCATGTTGTAGGCTGCTATGGGGCTGCGTTGTGAACATAGGGAGGTTGGCATGCGTTGCTGAGAAGCTCATAATTACTGGTGAACAGTGGACGTGTCGTCAATTTTCAAATTACGAGTCGGCTCTTCGCATGTGTGAACGGCGCATCACGTACGGGGTTGCTTGCTTTGTTGATGAGCGGGAAAGGCTCAAAGATGGAAACGGTGTCTCCATAAGATGCTGCAATCTGGAAGGCAAGCGCACACAACACACAAATGGAGAAGATCTCATGATATGGAATCTGGACGTCACACATTGTGTGTAACGTCAGCACGGCTCAGTTTTGGTAGTGGAAAAGCAACTCGTGCTTCCTAAGCTGCTTCACGCTGGCTCGGCATGGCTCCAGCACGGCTCAGATGGCAGTCCTGCATCAAGATTGAGATCCGATGCCACCACACGTAGAAAATTATTTCTACCCTCCGCACGCAGCTGCTGCGCAGTTGACACACAGCGACCTCCGAAATCTGCCTCACAGTCTCCCAGCATCCGCCCCGAGGTCTCCCACTCAGTCGCCCGGGCCACGGAGACCACTCCAACGCCTGTCTCTGCAGTGAGCCCTCGCCCACCCTGCACACAATCCAACGAAAATTTCTCAATGCTCTCATTTTGCTCTGCTCCCCTTCATGCATTCCCCACTCCATCCACCAATGCCTTCTGTCAAAACTCTCAAACTTTGCTAGAATCAAGGCCGCTCCGATCTTACTTCTACTCTGCTGCTCCCATTGTCTGGAATTCCTCTCCTGTGGCCGTAGGCACTGCCGAGAACCACGCCCCATTCCAGGCTCCAAACCTCCCTCTTCTCTTCTGCCAATGACCCTCTCGCACAGTCAAGTGCCTTAATTCACACGTCCAGTATAACATCACTACGATGCCTGTCTTCGCAATCGGCTGGCCCCCATCTGCAGTGCGATTCAGAATCTCCTCCTCCTCCTCCTCTGGACACCAAGGACAGGGACGATGGTCACTGCCGGAGGTCGTTTCTCCGTGGCAACCGCCGCCATGTGGAATGTGGTTATCATCGTCACTGCTGCAGTGTTCAATTCACACCGACTTTCAAGAGACACTCAGGGGGGCACTATATCGCTCTCTTCAAGGCCCCCCACCTCTCCCGCCCGGCTTTTGAGTGACACTCAGCTTGGTTCCGCACCTCAGAGTCACCGTCATTCATGATGTCTGCAAAATATCACGTGCGTTTCAAGTTGCACTATTATCGCCACTCGGCACACGACAAGGGTTACCGCTGCGCTGTTCCCGCAGGGCGATGCTCACCTTGCCGAGGCGCGCGGAGCAGCTGAGGCAGCCGACCTGGATGTTCCCATGCTTGGAGCCCGGGATGATCTGCACGCGCTCAAAGTTGCTGCCGAGGATCACGATGTCACAGCCAGACGCGTAGGCCTGAAACGCGACCGCGGGAGTGACAAAACGCAATTAATAAACAATTAATATTAGTTTCTTTCTGGTAAGATCGCGTAGTTGCAAACGAGCGACTTTTTTTTTTACCCGTCACACACCAACGGAAGGGGTGCAAGAGTCTCGGACGTTGATGTATGCAAACGGAGAGAGGAATGGGAAAGGGAAGATAATGAATGGGGATGAAGAGGGAAAGTATGGAGAAGAACAGAGGAACGGGAGCACAGGGGTCAGAAGACATGAGGAGAGGGAGAGGCTGCATGAGGGCCTCAATGCTGCTGCTGCTGCATGAGGAGCGGTGTCTGTTTTCACAGTGGGTGGCAACGGGGAGAGGGAAGGGGTTCAAAGAGGGGTGGCCACGCTGAAGTCACGCGATTTGCGGGAGGCTTGAGCTGGTCGAGACGGAGAGAATTCAGTTAGTCCTAGAATCCTCCACCACCCGACATGGACAAACGAATCAAGTTGTCCCGTGAACAAATGTGCCGACTGATTGTGATACAAATTTGCTGTTTGCGCCGTTCTTTTAGTGGGCAAAGCCATCACCGCCAAGGAAAGCACCGCAGTGTTTCTCTGACACAATCCGCGGTCGTTTTACAGCAGCAGCAAGGGGACGAGATTGCTGTGTGATCCCTATTGAGTCATTTAAAATGATCAACAAGATAAATATTGAATCCGTAACAAAAGATATATTTAAGTACAAGCAGTTTAATATATGCAAAAGATAATATCTATTTGTTTTGCGGGTTGCAACTCTTTTTTGGTTTAAAGAATAATCCAATTTAATTTTAAATATGGTATAAAGGTATCGGGAGAGCTTAGCTCCTATTAATGCCTGATGATGCTGAATAATCTCCCAGCGAAATGTCAGACAAAACAGTCAAAACGATGCTTGGGTTTCTCAACATCACTTCCCCCTCTGGTTTGCTGATGAACCAAATCGATCAGCACGTTTTCCCATGGCGTGACAACTCGATTTGATTGGCTCTGTTGGGTGGTGGAGGGTTATCATCAACACATTTACATGATCTTGACTTAAAGCTTTCGTGACTGCAGGAATTCATATTCTTTGGGTCTTTGGTATGTTGGGTCAATCCTACATGATCTACCCCAAATTAAACTAAGTAGGAATTGACGTACGATCCGTAGCGTCAGTAAGCTAGTGCCATGAGAGGTTAATTAAGCACGAGAAGTTACTAGGACCGTCAGTTTAAACAGGAGAACCCTTATTGCTTTCAATTAACCGGGCACTCTGGGTAAAAACCGTAACTGCGCCCGTTTACCACTGTAAGACGATCGTGTGGCGCAACGCGTGACCAAAAACAGAAACAAGACCAAAATAAGAGGCAAGCGGAGCTCTCCAAACAGGATCGCGCCGGGCGGCAGGCGAGAACCGGCAGGGACCGGCGACGGGTCTCTTCGGCCGGTCGTTTGTTCTGACGGTCGGCGACAACGTGCCACCCCCCCTCACCACCCCGCCACCTACTGATAGAATGTGGCGGGCTCAGGATAGTCGTCACCATACAGTACACAGCAGGGACCATGATTTGATTATGTAAATTAATCGACTAAAGATAATAACTGTCCATGTCTTTTTGGGGTCGATTACTGTGGCCCTTTAAAGAACGGTGGCCGCCTCCGCATCCTGCCTCTCTGACGCAGCTGAAGATCTTTTTTTTTCCATGAAATACTCACCGAGTCTCACCTCTCTTTCAGCAGTCCCACATTGGTATGTTGGGTCAATCCCATTGATCAGTTTTGATTTCCAGCTTATTAAATATTTAGTTCATTTAGTAAATTATTTCATGAGACCTCCTTTGCCGGTACCAAAATATAAGAATAGGTTTTTCCCCTTTTTTCTGGCAACAAAACTGAAACCTTTTAACAAGGAATCATGTCTGCATTAACCACAATACTTGTGGTCAGAATGCAAACAAAAAACACACTCTGATAATATATGCATTGTCCTTGAAACTGATTGGTCCACACCAGAGACGGCTTTCTTTTGAGCCTCGTCTCAAACGGTGCTAGACCACAAGTATTGTGGTTAATGCAGACATGATTCCTTGTAAAAAGGTTTCAGTTTTGTTGCCAGAAAAAAGGGGAAAAATCTATTCTTAGTCAATTATTCTTAAAATGTATTTATAATAAAATTTTTATGCCGAGTGCCTGCTGCTGCTGCTGTGTCCTGTATGGCGCTTTAAGAGCCTTGATGAAAAGCCACTATATACATGTAATTATTATCATAATACACAAACGCGCCGCAAGGAGAGATTATACAATCCACATAACACAATCAATCCGGTAGGTGGCCCAAACTGACAGCACCCATTGCTGTACCGCCATCTCGCCCTCAATGCCATAAAACACCTGCTACGGACCAACCGGGATCTTATGAGATTGGGCAAGTCCAGATGATTTGGTCATTGACAAATCACAATAAATTATGTTTCGACCGCTGTTCTGTTAGTGTACATGTACACACAGTGTTGACAAAGGTACTCTTGGTCTTAACGGGCTCTAATATATAATTGCAATAAAGTTGACAAAAGGTCGTAGTGCATAGGGATAGATTGATTAGTCATTCCCCCCCCCCGCTCCCCCAATGTGGGCATTGTCTCATAAGACATTGTAATCATTAATAACGCTCGCAGAGCAGCGCACGGCAAGGTATATAAAAGCTCCGTGGAAAGCGATATCACAAAACTACTTCTGAGAAACCGTTCTAGTGACCCCTTCTCAATCCACTGCTGGATGGAGGCGCTTCCAACACTGTGTCGGCGATGGGGGGTTCGCTTGAACATCCTTCGACCATACTGGTCAATGCGGGTTGCTTATTGGGACCTCGGGACCAGTTCAGACACCACTTGCCACTGACGTTAGCTGCAGCTGGGAACTGAATTCAGGTCGCAAGCTTTAGAGCACAATGTACTGGCCACTGCTCGCCACATTCCCATGTGGCCTGCTTAAAAGATGTTCGTCACATTGCAGTAAAACCGGTTTATGATTGAGGCATGTCTTATTATTAACATTGATTGGGTATTTTACGATTATGCAGCCGGGTAGAGTATGACTCACTTCAGGAAGGTCATAAATTCCTGGGTGGGCATGGACCTGGCCCGTCACCTTGAAAGTGGGGTGATACAATCAGCATCACTTTTGAAGAAGTCAACAGTGGTTGAACTACCACTTATTTGGGCTCAACCAAAGGAATGTGGAATATCAAAAACTGATTAAGACCCCCAAAAAGAAATGTCCACTACCCAATGCATATCGGAATACGTAGAATTACTGGATTAGGGCACTATGGTTTTATCACAATGCAGTTTAATTGGCTAACACTTCTTGAGCCAAACTAAGGCACCCTTCAAGATACAAAAACATATCAAGTATTGAATATGGCAGTACAGCTGTGCACAGCAACCCCCCATTCAGAGTGTGTAGGGGGGAGGCCTTCATCCAGCAATGGATTGGTGGCGCACGTGGCCCCGTAATCCACAACTGTGGAGGCGATGGTTGGTGGAACTCTCGAATGCTGCGAAATCCCCTTCCCTTCGTTGTCAAGAAGGGGCTGTACCCTGGCTCGCCAGCAGAAGGCCATGTAGCAAAACGTGGACTCCACCTATTCCATCTGTACGGAACAGTGTTGTCCCTGAACACACGTGGGTTTTTTGTCCAGGTGCTCCGCTTTCTCCCACATGTAAACGCGAATTAATTGGCCAATGACACCTTAATACATAGAGGACCGCAGAGCTTGGGGTCGAATTTGGCGCTGAGCCAACGCCTGGCTGCTGCCTTTTCTGCTCATCTGTGGTTCTTCCTCGGGCCCTTCAGCCGTTCCCTCTCTTTGTGAGTGAGCTAATACCGTATTTTGGCGAGTTACAAGTTAAGATTATTACTCAAAATCTATGGGACGGCAACCATTCAAAAGTTGACGCAATCAACTTTTTCACATCTTTGCAGTCTCGCATACGTATGTGCTACCGTTCCCCACTGTGTACATGTCATGTATAAACCCTCCCTGCCCATGTAACGTGCTGGCTACCATCGTACCAGCCGTGCTATGCAGCCCCTGTAAACCCTCCCTTCTCATATAATGCGCTGGCTACCGTCGCATCAGCCTTTTTGGCCAGATCGCCATTGACAAAGAGCTTCTCGGCTCAATGGACTCCACCCAAAATAGACTACACTGACTGAAATGAATCGTTGCATTCTCGTGCCTAAGGTGGTACCACCAACAGTTGGGTTCAAGTCTGTCTGGGGTGGGAGATGGGGTGGGAGTGGACTGCACTTGCCTTCACCTTGCATCATCTACTGGAGAGCAAGTCTATGTTTGTATCCGCTTCGTGCTTGCGTGGAGCAGCGGAGAGAGACATCGATTAAATCAAGAGTTGAATCAAGGCCTACGCCGCATAGCCGGTGACCGGCGTCATGGCAAACGCGCACACCGGCAAGCAAGCGTATTCACGCGAGAGAGCATTGTGCATAGTGCAGTGCGCCAATACGTGTACCACAAATCATAATCAATCATAGCTCATGCATTATACAGCAGAAATATCGTATGTGTACGAATCGGATTTAATCAATCGCAGCATTGCCCAGCTGGACCCGGAATAGCAACTCTAACTATTCAGCCGCACATGTTTTGTTCATCGAGTTGGCCAATTATCCCGATGCAGGATCACAAAGCTTGGGCAGTTATGGGCGCTGGTCCTGGCTGCCTTCCCACTTAACCTGTGGTTTGCCATGCTAATGGGAAGTGTAATTTGAGTTAACAAAGCTTCTGATTTTTTTTACGTATTTTTTTACACAGCTGCTGGGCAAAGGCCAAACACGTCAAGTGTCCAGCAACAAACAGAACTTTGACCTTCTGCCTACTCGTAGATACCTTTCACTTCGGCCAGTATGAGATAGCAATTCCACTCAGGCCCACGCCATTTTTTTTCTTCCTTGCAGCTGATAGAGGATGTTTACGGTCAGGGTGGGTG